AAAAAAAAAAAAAAAAAAAAAAAAAACTAAGAATCAACCTCCTAACAAAAGTTTCATTGGTGGACTCATCAAAAGATCTTGATTCTAATCTACTCACCTCTATTGTTGCAACCAAAAAAATTCAAATAAACCAACCAACTAACTAGAGATTAACATAATTCAAAATTATAGAGGCAGGGATTAACTAGACAAAAGCACACAACCTAGCTATAGATCCAACTCCACTAGTCCTAGAGACTCTACATTTACATATAGGATAAAAAGATGATCAAAATGGATTAACAAACAGGATTTCCCCAAATCAGTAGAGATTTGAACGATTCAACGAGAAACGTGCAATTAACTTATGGAGAATAAGTTACAAATGAAACAACTGACCTCTAGAAAATCGACAGCCTCAAGAACTTCAATTCCTGAATCCCTGAAATTGTAAATAATATAGAAATGTATCATTATTTTATTTTCTCATGGAGCGATCCTCTATCAGACTTGAGATTCATAGCAATCAGTGAACGAACACTGCGGCATTTCAATTTCAAAATCAAACGTTATGTATAATAGCATGAAGAACACAAATGAAGAAAACTAAAGCACATATTACCACTCGAATGAGAGCTACTTTCATGCTTGTTTCACTTCATCAACGGAACTATACCTCTTAATTCCCTAAACTACAACATACAGGCCACAGAATAATAATCGAATTTCAGAAAAAAGTAATCGAAATTGCCGTTGTAGTGAGAATAGGGAAGTAGATAGGAAGAACAACAAGCTGATAAAATACGGCTACGAGAAAAAGAAACAGAGGCAGGGAGTAGGTTTTGATGGTCGACACCATTGAGAACATCGGCACAGACGATTTTGATGGAAATTTATCGTTCATTCACGAAATACAACTTAAATAGCCTCGGCCAAAAAGGAGGAGATGATGACTTACCGGAAAACAATCAGTTCCCCCGCCGCATAACAGTACGACTGAAGCAGTCACAGCGATCGAGAGCGCGCTTTTGTAAAGAAGCAGTGGAAATGATCTATAAACGCGAGCGCAAGTGTAACGATATTCTCGTGTATATATATATGAGCGACAATGTCGGCAATCTCGGTAACGGACTGGGCTGGCGGCCCAACTGAACTCTCTTCTTTTCTTTTTTTTTCTTTTTTCAAAATTTTATTTATGGTAAATTAATAAAAAATAATCCTAAAATATATCCATAAACTTTTAAAAATTTTAATAATTTTTTAAAAGTGTTATATTTTTTAAACAAAATATTAATGATTTATTTGCGATAAAATATTTTTAAAATTTTTTAAAACATTAAATGTATTATTAAGTATTTTTTTTTAAGAGAAAGGGCAAAGTTGAAACAATCTCTCCTTCCTTGGGAACTACTGGCACATGGATACCAAATTTTTCCAGTTATATATGTTGGATGATGAAAGTCATATAGCTAATTTAGAGAAGGATCATGAGTTTATAATCAAGGAATACTCTCTCCGTGGTATGAGGCCTTTTGGGAAGCTCAAAGCAAAGTCCCGCACAGTGGACGATATCATACCATTGTAGAAAGTCATGTTCATCTAACAATATCAAACTTCTCCGGGTCTCTAACTTTGAATGTACACCATTGATATCAATATGGGCAACTCTATGAAGATCAAAGTAAGATCAACAGGGACTTCTTAAGTTAATGAAAGAATTCCACTCTATCCTTCTCAAAACCAGTATCAGAATGACAAGAAAATGAAGCAAGACAGACTGGGTATGGACAATTACCACCCTTTAATCTATCTTCTTTGAATTCACGTATAATAATACCATCACCTACAACAGGTAAAAGGTAAATCACACAAGGAAGAAGTTTGCTCACTTGGTTGGAGGAGCATTGTTCCGATGAAGAACGCGCCGCCGAATATCGTTCTGATCAACCGACTCCAATGGAGTGGCTGTCTCGTTCCTGATCCGCTTGATTTTGGGGCTCAAGAGGCCCCTATGCCCAAATCCATACAGCTTCAGAACTTGATTGTCAGCAAAATTGAAAGCCCTCTCCATGCTACTCAAACACCTTTCCACTGGATAGTCTCCATAGCTACCACAAGGCTTGCAGCCCACAAAATGCGTCACGAATGGCCACCTTTCGTCGCCCAATCCAGGGTGGTACTTCTCAATCATTTCCTCATACCTATCAACTAATCCAGCCCAGTAACCATGCAAATAGTATGAATTCTCAAGAAACACCTTATCCATCCACTGATCTTTCTGAGAAAGCAATAAGTATATCAGAGCTGACTGATCATCAGCTTCAAATGCTGGCCTTCCCTTCAAGTATGCAGTCAAAATCTTGCCGGCCTCTTCCCGGATAGGACCCTTTGGTCCCATAGGAGCCCAAGCATCCAGCAAATCCAAAGACCACTGGCAATTCCGAAACAAAAAGCTTCCTGTGTTGAGTGCAATCCAGGACTTCTGGTTGAACATCAAATCAGGGTATCCGTGAACCACCAAATTGTAGTTACCATATTTGTCCAGTGGAATCTCGAACACCATATCAGTAAATAACGCATCACTGTCCATCCACCAAATCCACTCCACCTCAGGGTGTGACAGCATCAATCGCCGGATCAACGGCAACTTGGCCCAATACCCAGCAAGTTCCTTGTCTAAATGAGCCAAATTGTATACTATTTCAATCCCATGAAGCCTGCAATAGTCAATCTTATTCTTGATTGCCTTCAACAAATAATGATCTCCAATTGCATTATCGCAGGGTTTTGGAGGCGAACCGGTAACAAGCAAGATCCTTGCTCTTTTATTAATATAATTGGGAAATTGTGGGTTCTGATCCAGCCAAACCTTTCTCTCCTGATTCCAGTTCGCAATCTTGGGACCGAGTGTGTAAGTAACATTAGGGTTGATTTCTGTCTCGGCAGGATCATCCGGGTCGTTGGGGTCACTGTCAGATCGAATCTCGGCGAGGATCCGGTTGGTTTCTTCGATGATATTCTGGTTTACAGCGTCGGCCTCGGAGCTACCAAGGTTGCCGATGCCGATGGTGCCACGAAGAACAAGAATGGTGATGAAGCCACAGAGTACGGTAATCTTGATATTGTTGAAAGTCTTCTGGATCTGACGGCCACGAGGAATTCCGGGGATAGTACGGCTTCTTCTGCCGTTGGCGGTGGCGGCAGTGGTGGGCAAACTATTCCCTCCATTGCCAGCTCTCTTCTGAGCCGGGATATTGTCTAGTCCCATGTCTCTACTTCTTCTCTCTATCCTGTAATCAGGATTTGGAGCTATGGGTTATGAGATAAACAGCCTATTTTCCTGTATCCAGCAGCTCTCTCCACCTTCAACTCAGCTATGTGACCAGGATAAGAAATCGAAGAGATGGAGCAGAACAAAGGAGGATCCGTGTAGGAGAAGAATATAGCAGTAATGGGTAATGGTCAATTCATGGTGGAGATAGTTGGGGAGCAGCTCAGAAAGGAAGAAGATGAGAAAGCGAAGGAGAAGGAGAAGGAGAAGGAGAGAGGCGTCTCAGCAATACCACCGACTGTGGAATTGAAGTATCGAAGGATTTTCTTCGAATGATTCGAAGTACAATTCTTCCGACGCGTGATTGGATCCATTGTTTTTCTTAATTTTTATAACACAAATTCCGACTTCCTACCTCCTTCCTGCCTCCCTTCTGTCAATTGGCGATTGTGCATATTAGTTGGACACCACCCTCAAATTTTTATTTAGCCGTCCACACCTAGGCAGTAGATATTCTTTTTTGGACTTTTCCTTAAAGATTTTAAAATGTGTTTGTTAGGAGAAGTTTTCACACCCTTATAACGAATGTTTAGTTCTTCTCTTCAAATGACGTGGATCTCACAATCCACCTCCTTAGAATCTAGCATCCTCGCTAGCACACCATCCAAAGTTTGTCTCTAATACCGCACACCATCCAAAGTTTGTCTCTAATACCATTTGTAACAATTCAAGTCCACCGCTAATAAATATTGTCTTAATTTATCTTTCCCTTCTAGGCTTTCACTCAAGGTTTTAAAACGTGTTTTCTAGGAGGAGATTTTCCCACCCATATAATTGAATATGGATAGATTTGGAAGGTTTGGTATTAAAAATGGAACATGTGAAGATTTTAAGGGAGAAAAGTTTGAATGAATATAGATATATCTCATGGAATCAATAAATTACTATAGAAATCTTGAATAAGAAGGCCTATGGAATGATTTGAATTCAAGACAGATTCTTACTTCTCTTTCCCCTTGCCTTTGATTTGTCAGTTGCAGCTTTGTTCTGCTTCTCAGCTCTACTGGATTCTTCAAGATTTTGATTGTCAATCTTTCTTGTTGGCTTGAAAACCTTGGTGATTGAAGGATCCAAAACATCGCTTGAGCAGCGAAGCGTGAGGCCCATAGCCATGGCCTCCTCCCACAGTTGCCTCCCCATTTCAAAATCACCTCCCCTGCAGAGCTTCGGTATAAGCACATCATAAACTGGACCATAACCCCCCAGTGAGCTTCTCTTCATCTTCTCAAACAGCTCAAGTGCATACTTCTCACTCTCAACACCACACAGAATACCAATCAAATCATAGTAGAATTTTCGATCCGGGATCAGCCCCTCTTCAATCATCTCCTCCACAATTCTGCACCCTTTCCCAAATCTTCCAGACAGGAACAGCACTCTCGCCACAAGATAGTAGCTTATGCAATCGGGTCGACAACCGGTTCGCTTCATTGTCTCGAGGATTCTACATGATTCCTTCACTCTCCTGGCTCTGCCCAGACATGACAGCAGTATGTTATAACTGATTGAATTGGGAGCAATGCTGTAGGATCTCATTTCCATCATCACATTCAAGGCTTCAGGCACGAGACCTGAAGGATTTTTCTTAAGATTCTGCTCGGAGAGGCACCTGAGGAAAGTGTTGTAGCTGAACAAATCTGGCATGGTTCCATCTGACTTCATTTCTTTGAGTATCCTTCTTGCTTCTTTAGTGTTCTTCTGAATGGACCATCCATATAGAAGGCTTCTATAGATGCAACTCATTGTGCCAGAGATCTTGTCCTTGTGGTGCAGGACTACCCCTTCTGCTCTTTTAGCATGCCCTTTTGCACAGAGAGCAGTGATAATAGCAGTGACAGTGAATTGGTCGTGTGGGCATTTGTACTTGTCCAAGTTCTTGAACAGACCTAGGGCTTCATCTTCTCTATCCATTTTGACTAAAGCCTCAGCCACAAGACCGAAGGTCTGGCCATCCATTGCGCGGCGAGCTTTCTTGAGATCAGAAAGTAAAATATCAATGGCAGTGTAATCCTTCTTCTGAGCAAATAAGCGGATGGCATAATTGAAATCTTCATCTTCCAAATCGTGGTTTAATTTCTTGAGAGACCACGAGAAAAACCTAAGCAATCTTCTATTGGGAGCTTCATTTTTGCAAGAATCAATAACCTGGGTAACGAGTGAAGATGTCAAGGATACTGTGCTCTTGTTCAGAGTGGCTTCCAATTCATCTAACCCTCCGATCGTGCACGAAACCACTTCACACAGTTTTGACACAGAAGCTCCATTTTTGACGGTGGAATGAAGGGAACAAAAGCGATGCTGCGTACAGACGGATTGCACAAAGAGGCAATCCCATTTTAACTTCAACAATGAGACGCATCGTCTCAGCGACCTTTCATCGAACATCTGGCGTGCGTTCATTGCAATGTACAGAGGAAACATTACTCAAAGGAAAGGCAATTTCATTTCTCTGATATTGCTCCAGCCTCCCTGCTACCTTGCTTTTATAGCTGACCAATCTGACCATAAACCGCGCAACTTCTCGTAGTCGGTATTCAGGGGATCAACTTACCTCAATTTCTTCGATCTTCGCTACCATAAACCGAAGTCATTTAACTGTAAATGAGTCCCCAGGTTGAACGATGAAACTCAGAGTATTTTGATTTGGATTTCGAATGCACTCTCTGAGTTAAATTTGTTGGGCTACTTCATTAATTTGGAATCGAACCTGTTCCGATACTTACAAGCCATGAAACTCGGTGGCAGGGGGCCATTCGAAGTCAAACTTGTTCTTTAGTAAAGTGGTCGAGGGCATTCTGCCCCAAGACCAGGGTTCGAATCCTACAACCGTAACCTTTTCTTTTATTATTATTTTTTTTTTAGAATTTGCCTTATTGATCCCTAAAATAGAGAGATTTTTTTTTTTCTAAAGATATAATAATAATGAAATAATTAAAGAAACAAGCATTTTATACAATCAAACAAAGCAGACAAATGGAAAAGGATGTTTTTTTTTTTAAATAATGAAAGGGGATTTATTGACAATTTGAATGTTAGTCAGTGAACTAAGTATAATAACGACATCAGAGCTAGTTCAATAATGGGACAACTTGATCTCCCATTCCTAGGAATGGATGATCAATTTTTTTGCTACCAATCTAATGCCTGCACTCTGTTGATAGTCATATGTATCCAAGGAAATGAATGCATCTATGATGCCTCCTGGATTGATCAGGCTATCAAGCTCTACAGCGTCGAATTTACTGAATATCAGCCTTTGTGCACCGCCTGATGCTTCTTTTTGATACATCTCTGTAGCGTAAATCGCCATGTCTCCACTTACTGCAGTTGGAATGCTGTGAAAGAACAAATTTAATTCCATTACAAACTCATCAAGAAGAGGAAACTTATGAACTTACAGAGTAGATGACTCGATTCAAATGGCAAGAAACGAAAAAAAAAAAAAAATTGAAGCAAGCAAGCATGCAGATCATATGTTGAACTAAACTTCCTCTGGTTTTGTTTTTCTGATCCTTTTCCCTCATTTCATAGTTCAAATCTTTCATCAAAAAGTTCGTAGATACATATATACAGTCAGTTTGCATGTCAAGCGATCAGGTGGAAGGAAGTATGACTTACTGTAATCTCATTGTCGGGTAGTTGAAATAGCCATTCTTTCTCATCACCACAGGCCTCCACTCAGAGCCGCTGCCAGATTCGGAGAATAATCTCTGAGCCACGCCATCAGATGCTTCAAGAACCCTGCATAAACTTGGTGGTACATCGACCACAAAATTCAACCTTGGACGGCCAGCATAATCAGTGAATTTTGTGCTTATGCCAAATCGAACTCTCAGATTATTACAAAGAAGCTGTAAGCAGTCATCTTTGTGTGATAATTGTATTCTTTGACTCCCACGAAAAAATGGCACGAAAGATGCAGTGATGGACGAAACAGACACCTGGTCAGGCTCCAAAAATTCAGTAGCAGAGCTAATACTTGTGGAAGTATTCTCTGTGGGAGATGCTTCAGTGGATACCGAGGCATGTTCTTCTTCCATGCTGGTATCTGTTTCAAGCGATTCACCTGCTATTTGGTCACTGAGAGTGCCCATGTTAAAAGAATCTGATTCAGTTGCATCAGAGTCAGCCACCAGATTCGAGGCTCCATCCTCAGAGCTGCAAGTTACAAGGGATAATATCGGATGAGCTTCCCCTTGTTGATCTGTTAGAGATATGGGGCTACCACCAATCCTTGAACTTGACGAACGAGTATTACTATTTGCATTAATCCCCTGTGGGGATGCTTTTGCAGCACTATTATTTGCATTAGTCCCCTGTGGGGATGATTTTGCAGCACGACGCCTAGTAACAGCATTTGGAGAAACCCAACTGTTCTCTGGGAAAACTTCGGGAAGACTTGATTCCTGTAACCAGACAACAGTTTTAATCTAACCCACCATACTTTTCTAACATAAAGTGGTCATTATAAGAGCGCTAATACAACTATGCTGATGTCAGATTAAGTTAACTTTAAAAAGAAAACGAAAGAACAAAGCTACTACAAGAATGTATCCAAATGGCAGGTAAGCAAAATGGAGATAAGTATTGTCAATTGATACAAAAACTTACAATGAAGCAATTGGAACCTATTGATGATCTAAATTCGAAAAGAAATGCAGAGCTACCAAGGGCATAGATCCAAGTGGTCAATATTCAGATAATGCAACAAAAATTCTTACCAGAAACAAGACAGTTGCACAATACTTCAGAACTTCGAGATTCATCCTAACATCATCCAAACTCCTGGAGAATCACACAGACAAAGTCAGATACAAAGAAAGCGATCCTTTGATTTATGTTCAAAATTGCTAGCAAGTTTGAAGAGTTGCCTGTGTGTTTGTTGTCCTATCCCGAAATAGGAAGCAAGAGTAGCCATCTACAGGGAGAAAAGGAACGTCGAAATCAAATAAATAAAAAGTTACCATAGCTTCTATAAATCAGAACATGTATGAAGATTCATTATATAAAGCAAGAATGTGGGGTTGAATTCAATAGAGGAGCTCAGTGCAAGGATCTGATGGAAAATATCATAGCAATAAGCCTATTCTCATCACTTTATGCATAATTTTTAGAATTCTAATCTCTCATCATTACAGTTCCTCCCCAAAAAAGAGGTTTTTCCAACCCTTCGTTAGCATAAAATTACCGGTGATATATTAAATTGGCACATATCCTAGTGCCAAATGTTAACTTGGTTTAAGTCTCATATTTAGAGAGGTGAATCCCAAAACTTCAATTATTTCTACAAATTCCTGCTTGACTTCTGAATGTTGAAATCTCTAAACAATTTTGCTGAACGCACCATCCAATGGATACTAGTTTACAGGTTTCTTGGGATCCCCTGAAGTTTGCATGAACACAAGTAGTAGAAACATAGCAAGCATGCAACAGAGAAAGAATTCTGTTACCTTCATGTCGCCAGCTCTCCTTCCAAACTTTTGAGTTAACAATGCCAATGAATCAATTGTACCTTTCGGCTGTGGTGCTGGCATACCAATTTCTGCAAAAGCCTCCCTTATTCGAGCACAATCAAATCTCAGTATGTTATGGCCAGCCCATATCCGCCCTACAGAACAGTATCGCAGCAGAAAACTCAAACGCAGCCATAAAATAAAATTAAAATAGAAGACGCATGGACCATTCAGCCCGACAGTGCATGGTACAATCTTAGAGTAGAAATGATCTTCTTTCCCAGAATTGAGATAAAACATTTTGCAGCTTGGTTTCAATTGGCGAGCAGTAGAGAATAATTAGAGAGTACCGTGAAGGATATCGTAAACCCTATCAGCAATTTGGGCGAAAGTAGGAGCAGAAATGACGGCATCTCTAGTAATTCCATTGCATCGCACAGATAAGGAGGAAATGAGGGAGAGATCAGAGGGTCGAACGAGAGTGGAATAGCTCTCCAACTCATCCAGCTTCCTAGGGCACACCAGAATGGCTCCAAACTCCAAAATGGAAAATCTCTGCCCTTGGCGGGTCGGAACAGTGGTCTCCACATCAAAGAAGGCAATCTCGGATCGGTCCCCCGTCGGACCCATGATTGAACAGAGAGAATTTTGAATCAAGAGAAGAGAATAGATTGGCGTTGAGATTGAAAAGTGGAAGGCGCGAAGAGGTGAAGTAATTATAAGGATAAGGACCGCCGTGGGTTTGGAGGTTGCTTCGTGAAGTGAACTTTCAACGATCGGGATCATCGGGCTGATTCTTAAGCCCATTTCAAATAACCCAACCACTTCCATGGGAAGGAGCTTATTTTATTTTATTTTATTTTTTTAATGTTTCATTTTCAACTTATAATTTAGTCCAACTTCCACTAAAAAGAAAACTAATTTAATTTCTCAATTATATATATATATATATATATATATATATATATATATATATTAATTTAATTTATTTATCTTTTTAATAATATTGAGTTTGATGGAATAGGGTACGGCAGGTATCTGATCCCAAGGATGGGAGTGGAAGACTGAGTAAGCCATTTCCTGAAAGACAAGTTATGTGCCTAAACTACCAACCCCTAACTTCCTCCTCATTCCCAAGTTTTCCCTCTCAATTTTTATTTATTTTTTATTTTTTAAAGAATTACTCAAAATAATTCTAAATTTTCAATTTTATTTCTACTGAAATTTTAAAAATAAAGTAAGAAATGCAACTCAATTACGAGTAAGAGTGAAGTGCATGGGCCAAGTGAGTAAGAATGCAACTCCGTGGACCACTTGCCGAGCTTGATAGGTGCTGGTATCACACTTTTCTCAAATGAATCGTAGGTGTCACTCTTGTCTCATACGACTTTGTTTCGAGGTCAAGACCTCTCTTTTTCTTTTTACTAACATGCGTACGAATCAATATATTTAGTGCTTTCTTTTTATATTATATTAAACACAATTTGCATGTGTAAAAAATGGCGCGATAATTGAAATGAAATTAGAAAGTTGACGATTAATTTGTTAATTTTAATTGGATAATGAAAATAAATTTTTTATTGTATTTTTGGTGCTCCATAATTATAACATTTTAGAGCGGAAAAAGGCTTCGAGAAAAAGTAAAGGATAAGATTGTCTCTCTCTTTTTCTTTTTTTAATATGTAGCATACATTTAGATCACTCAGTTTATTTTTATATTATAATTAAAATAAATTAATATATTCATTCCGTCATAAACAACTCTATTTAATTAATTATATTTATGTTTTCCATTTACATATAAAATAAACTCTGTTTAAACGGTAATTTATTTTCAACTGAAATAAAAAAGTGAAAAACGTTGGATTTGTTTTACTTTTTCAGTAATAATCATCCAATATTTGGAGAGAGAAAAAAATTATCATAAATTCATAACATTTTAGTAAAATTAAAATAATGTACAAGTAAAATAATTTTAGGTATTTCAAATCAAAATCAATATTTAATGTCGTATACTTTATAATAAAATTCAAACTATATAAACTAACTTGTTTTTAGGGAAAAAAAACACGTAAAATTAATATAAACTTAAAATCATAACAAAATGACACTAATATATTATTTAATTATTTTAAATTTATATATAAATTATATGAAAACATAAGAGTGTTGCTGAAATAATAAATCTTACCAAACAAACATGATTATTTAAATATTTAAATATTTTCGAACAACCTTATAAAATTTCCTTTATCTAAAAACATTAGACGTATGTATTTTCAAAGTTATGAACAAAAATATGCTTCACAGCTATTATTTATTATTATTTGGGAGAAGCACAGCTTCATTGCTTAAGGGACTTGTATTGCACTTGGGATTCATATTTTGGGTATTTTGGGGGTGCTTCAAATGAAAATTTTCCCTTTATCCATAAAAAATAATTATTAATCTAATGAAATTATTATTAAAACTAATTATTTATGTCATAAAGTATTGAGGATCTTGAAAATATAAAATTATAATTATTGATAATTAAGATAGGAGTATGAATTAGAAGGATATTGTCTGCTTTAAATATTTTTTAATAAAAGAAAAATTGTAAAAGAGTATTTGAGTATGGACGGGGCGACTTTCTTAGGAAAAAGACAGCTGGAATGTGGGAGCCACATAAAAACGCGGTGACGTGGCTGGTTACAGCCGACGGGAAGAAAAACGACGTATTTTGACGGCATGGTGGTGACGGCAGCAACGACCTGAACCTTCCTCCTCCAATTGGAGATGGGCGGGTAAAAGGAAAGTGGGCCCCGCTGATTGCGTGTCCACCCAAAGAAGGGGCGTAATTGTAAATGGCCAAACTCCGTCAGATATCCAGGAGTGGTGGTGGACCCCACCTCCAATTCCTGGATGACGCTCCGCCGTTCGCGGTTTCCTTTTGCTTTATGCATCGGCGGAGTCGGAGTCGGAGTCGGAGTGGATGCATGAATTAGGACATGGCTGCGCCTTTAGAAATCGACAAAATACTCCCTACACTTTCTAAAAAATAATAATAATAATAATAATAATAATTTATTCAGACTATTTTTAGTTTGTTTCATGAATCTTTTTGTTCCTGAAAAATATATTAATTTGTTTTTTTTTAACTTTAATATAAAAATTAAATCATAGAAATTCTCTAATTTTGTGAATGAGGTCGAGACAGGAATCCAAAATGGGAAATTTTAAATCTGAATTATAATTCTTCAAAATGGGAAATAAAGGAAATAATGGGAGATGGAGCCAACATTTCTATATTTACACGTCTCATTCTTTATTTATAATATTAAACTAAATAATTAAAAAAAATTAAAAATTAATATAAAAACAAAAAACAGATTAGTTATCCACCGACTCAAATCTTTATTCATTTTCCCAAATATCCTCAAATCATAAATTCAACATAAAACCAACCCCACCTTCTAATTTTTTTTTTTTTTTTTCCTATTCATTCACCATACAATAATAATAATAATAATAATAATAATAATAATAAGTTTAATTTTCATACATTTTTTTTTTTTTTGGTTTCTGATCATCTAGCCAAGCACCCACATTCTCGAACTAATCAAAATCCCAAAATTCCCATTTATTAGTTTTTTTTTAATACTTCATCTTCAACCTCTCGTTCGTTTTCAGTAATTCCAGAAGTCGTCGAGGTCGATCGGCGCCATAGGAGCCGGCGGAGCTTCTTGAGAATTGTCTAATGGTCTGCGACCCATTTCATGATTCGGAAGAATCGATGATATTTCGTTGTTGACATCGGTGGTGAGGCACGTTTCTTGAGAGATACTGATTTTGTCCGTCTCTGGTTTGAATGATTCTCTTATGTTTCCGCCACTGACGTTCTGAATCAAAGCTCTGAGAAGTGACTGTTGTTCTTGCAAAAGAAGGGAGGTTGGGAATTGTAGATTTGGAGTCTGATTTGGCGGTGGAAACACTGAATTTGAATGTGGGTTTCTAGGAAACGAGTTGATTGAATTGGGAATAACAGAGAAAACAGAGGAATTGTAAGAAGAAGCCATTGGTTGGAGTTTTCTTTGAGAATCCATGGCGATGGAGAAGCAGGGCACGTTATTAGGCAATTGAACAGCGCATTTAGTTTCTCCATCAAATGAAAATGAATCCGTTAATGGAGGAAGATTCGAGTGACCAAACTCGTTCCCGGAGATGTCTACCTTTTTCCCAGTGGAGTTCTTCTCAAACACCCTGCAAATCACCCACTCATTCTGCAGAGAAAACAGAGTAAACGATGAGATAAACTAAAAACAGAGGAAGAAACAGAGAGTTTTGAGGATGGAATTCATACCCTGGCAGCTTTGGGGAGGTTTAAAGCAGAGAGTTTACCCTCTAAACGATATTCATGCATAACCCAATTAGATTTCTCCCCTTTTGGAGCTCTTCCACGGTAAAAAACCAGAGTTTTCTTCATACCCACAAGAGATTTTCCTCTGTAAATGTCTTTATCTTTCCCTGTAGCTTTCCAGTAGCCAGCTTCAGTTGCTCTGTTTGTCCTCAATCCAGTTGGGTATTTTCTATCTCTCACACAGAAAAAATACCATTCTTTTTCTCCCATTTTCGCCTTCCCTGAAAACCCCAAATCATCAGAATCAAAAAGAACAAAGGAGAAAGAGTTGATAAAGAGAGATTATTACAAGGCAAATCCCAAGGCTCTGACTTGTTGAGATCAACATCCCCAATCGCCCTGCAAGAGAAGCTGCAATCCATGACCTTATGGAAGAGGTAATGAGAAATAAGCTCTTCATCAGTGGGATGAAACCGAAAGCCAGGCGGCAATTCCAAATGATCTTCTTGGTTAAGAACACCACCACCAGGAGCAGCAGCAGCAGCAGCCATGTTAGAAGGCTTAGAAGTGTTCATCTCTGTCCAAGCTGCAGAGGTTTGAAGGTTTAAAAGGAGTTGAGTAAGAGAAAAACAAAACGCAAGCAGAGAAGAAGGGAGGGAGAAAGAAACGGTTAAGAAAAAGGTGTGGAAAAAGGTAGGGAGGGAAAGGATGGATATTGTGTCATGGCAGCCAAAAAGGCAGAGTATGAAACAGAATGAGCCCTAAATAGTGGGTTTTTATGAGCAACACAAACGTGGTCTGTAAGCCAAACGCAGCTCCCTCGCCAGGTTTGTTAGTTTCAAGCCCCTTTCATTTTCCTTCTCCATTCATCCATCATCATCATTCAACAATTTCACTAACAAAATTAAATAAATAAACAAATAATACAACTCACTTCTTATTATTAATTTTATTCTTTTTCTCCCTAATGACAGCTCATCTTTCCAAAGGACATTTCAGTCATTTCCCAACTCATAATTTTCTCTTTTTTCTATTAATCACCTTAAGTTGACCTAGTTATTAGATTAGACAAAAATAAATAAATAAAAAGATTTTGAATGGATGAAGTTAAATTTTAGAATGGTCACCCACTTTAATATTAAAGTCAAATTACAAATGTGATCCCAATAATTCGGAGATAATTATTTCGTATTAAACTAAATAAATTTTACCAATCCTATTTTATTCACTCCCAGCTAATACAATTAACAAAATAAATAAAAAATATATGCGCTCGTTGTCACGTTAAATAAAATGTATTAATATCGTAACGACAACATTAAATAAAAAATTTATTAATATTAAAAGTTTTAATAAATAAATTTAGGTTGAATTAAGGAGAGAAAGGAAGATGCTTTTGAATGATGTATAGCATAGGCGGCCCCTATAATAGGTAGGATGAAGTATACCCAATTGAAAATTAAACTTAATTCCTCGAAATGAAAACAAAACTATATGGTAGATGAATTTGTATGACATATAATAAGGTACAAAATTATTTATTCAAACTATATATATATATATATATATATAATTCCTGGGACCATACTAAAATCTTCCATCAAACCTAGTTTGTTTAAATAAAAAATTAGTATAAAATAAATATTGTTTCCTCTAATTATTGGACCTCTGCCATAAATCGTTTTCTTATTTTATTATAATATTCAGATTTCAAATACCATATGTTAATTTTTTAAAAAAATAACGAATATTAAGACTAATTTATTAATTATTATTATTTGAATTTAATATTTGACAAAAGTTGAAATATTATGCAATGGTTCAAACATTTTGATTGTATTAAAATTTAAATGAAACAAAAAGATAAAAATTGAGAGAGGATAAGAGATTGTCAATCAAATCTCGTGCGCACGAGTGGTCAAAGTCTGGACCTTCCACGTTCAACCGTTGACCAGTCTACTTTTCTGCCCAATCAGAACGCTTCAAAGCTACACGTGGCACTGCCACCTCTCATAATTTTCTTTTTTACTTTTTAATATTTTAAATATTAGAGTTTAGGTTTTCTTAATATTAATTTCAGTCTTTTATTATGTATTAACATCGACTTTTAGACGTTTGTTTTTTTTAATGTGGATTTTAAAATATGTTTGATCTCTTAAATATAGACGAGTAATATCTTAATTAATTGAACTATATTTTTTCGTGTAAGATTTTTGTTGAAATTGATATAAATGATTTAAAAAATAATATTTTTTAGCTTAGAAGAAATGTAATGGGTAGCGTACGATCCATTTTCTAACATTTAAAATTATAATTCGATGTATTGATTAGTTTATTTCAAATAATATATGCATCGTTATCAAATCTAAAGAAATTGTTTGGTATACTTTTGTTTCATTATTCATCCAATAATTGGAGTGTTATTATGGAGGATAAAAAGCAACACCCACCGTCCACGTGTCTCTTCTTTAGAAGCCAACTAAAACTCAAGTAAGAAGAATCGACAACTAGTCACATCTCTCTGTATATTTTGGGGCCTTTTAATTACGGGGTATAGCCATAATTTCAGTGACCAGTCATACATCTCCGTATTCATACAACAAGAACACACCTTAGTCAAACATAACCATAACATAGAGCAGGACAACACAAAATCTATATTAAAGTTGTTTGACTCACCAAGTTACTTCCACCTTGATTCCATCAGGTGTTAGAATTACATATTTCTAATATTTTTATTTAGCAACAACGATCAAATTCTCTTTTAACTCTGATGAACGATTGAATATGAGATCGTGTAAAATTATGTTTTTTTTTTTTTCTCATTAAATCAAATTGAATTGAGACAAAGGAATTGGGGTAGGCATATGATATTAGCAAAAGAAAACAATGATTAATATTATAAACAAAGGTAGGGTGGGGCATGTTTGATGGATTTCAAGCATGCAAACTTGGAAGGGAACAAGCATATGGCAGAATATGGTTGGGCAATATAAAGCTTACAAAAAAGAAGGGTATATTAAAATTAGGCAATAGTCGGCTTTCTTTGAAGCATATATATTATATATTAATTAACATTATCTCATATTATTTTGTTTCAAACATTGCCTAACTTGGGATGTTATTTCTTTCATAACACCACAATTATTTCAAATTAATCTCACTTCAGAAAAAACATATTCATTTTTTATTTCTGGAAGTTTGAACATCTTGTATCTAATTCTTTTTAGAAGCATGTCTCTCTAAGCATTTCTTATAAGTATGTGGTTTCGTTGACCCTCAAGGGAATATACGGTAAGATCTCACATCGTTGTTTGGGAGGAGAACAAAGTATTGCTTATAAGGGCGTGGAAACCTCTGCCTAGCAAACATGCTTTAAAATCGTGAGGTGGACGGCGATACGTAACGAGCCAAAACAGACAATATTTATATAGGATGAATTTGAACGAGATTTAGCTTGGAGGGAGTTATTTAGCTTCGAACTTCGAGAGTTCAAGAGATTAACGAAGAGGGATTTAGCAAAATATCATCGAATAATAATATGTATGAAAGATTGCAACTTTATGGGCTATATTCATTTGGGTTTGTGTAAGATGGTTTGAGAATTCCATACCAAAAGTAAAAGAGAAGATGGGTTGCAATGGATTGGTAAGACGGTCGATTTTGTTCAACATTTTGGGCTAAACGAGTGTGTCTACCCAACATGGTAATAAAAACTGAGATAAAGAAACGAGGATCATAAACTTCTGTGCTGACACGCCGGGATTTTGCAAGCCTTTGATTGAGCTTGCAGATCGAACACAATTGTTATGATCGTTCTCAACGGTGGAAAATCCAACTTGGCACGCTCTCTGTTCTCCCGAGTTGAGATCAAATTTCCACATTTTCAATTGCTCCTCCCCAAGTTCATTTGGAGTTCAGATCGAAAAACACCTACTGATGCAATACCCAATGGTTGCTATTTTTCCAAGGAACAAAGATTTCTGTCTCTTTTCAAGCAATGCTCCGCCGTGAAAGACTTGAATCAACTCCATGCCCGTATTATCCAGTCGGGTTTCGATCAGAATCTCTTCGTTCTTGGCAAACTCATTGAGTTTTGTGCGGTTTCGGCCCATGGCGACATGAATTACGCTGTTGCTGTTTTCAACCGAATCGAAAACCCAGATGGGTTTCTTTGGAATACAATGATAAGGGGATTTGGAAGAATTAGTAATCTTCCTAAAGCGTTTGAGTTCTACAAGCGAATGCTAGAGAAGGGAATCGCGGCAGACAATTTCACTTTTTCTTTCTTGCTAAAGATTTGTGGGCAGTTGGGGTCAATTATGTTGGGCAAGCAGTTACATGTCAATATTCTGAAACTTGGCCTCGATTCCCATGTGTATGTTAGGAACACGCTTATTCATATGTATGGCGGGTTAAAAGACGTCAAACTAGCACGCAACCTGTTTGATGAAATGCCCAAACCAGGTTTGGTAGCTTGGAATACAGTTATCGACTGTCATGTCTCTTGTGGGATGTACAACGAAGCACTTGCCTTGTTTCTTCAAATGTTGCAGAGTGGCGTAGAGCCTGACGAAGCCACACTGGTTGTGACGGTCTCAGCATGTTCTGCACTGGGTGCACTGGACTTTGGGAGGTGGGTTCATTCCCATGTGAAGGATAACGATAGCGGAAAGACTATTGCCGTTTTCAATTCATTGATCGACATGTACGCCAAGTGTGGAGCAGTTGAAGACGCCCGTGAGATGTTTAATGCAACAAGTGGCAAGAACATAGTAACATGGAACACAATGATCATGGGATTAGCTACACACGGCGATGTAGAGGATGCACTGACATTATTCTCAAACATGTTAGCAGAGAAGATTGTGACTCCTGATGGCGTGACATTCTTGGGAGTATTGTGTGCTTGTAACCATGGAGGAAAGGTGGAGGAAGGGAGGAGATATTTTGATCTAATGACCAAACACTGCAATATCCAACCAACAGTTAAGCATTATGGATCAATGGTGGACATTCTGGGACGAGCTGGGTTTGTAGAAGAAGCTTATCAGCTGATACGGAGTATGCCAATGGAGTGTAATGCTGTTATATGGAGAACATTACTTGCAGCCTGTCGGATGCATGGAAATGTTAAGCTCGGGGAGAGGGTGAGGAGCCATGTTCTTGAGATAGAGCCAGATCATAGTAGTGATTATGTTCTTCTTGCAAATATATATGCAAGCTCTGGTCAATGGAATGAAATGATGAAGGTCAGAAAATCAATGCAACGAAAAGGAGTGCAGAAACCAGAGCCCGGTAATAGTTTTTTGGAAATTAATCCATGCAGGAAGTTGGAGATGGAGACTGTTGAGAATTATAACAATGCAGAAACAAACTAAAGTTATATCTGAGTTTACAGTGTGCATTCGTTTGGAGTTCTTATTTAACAGGTAAGTCATCGCACCTGTGTCTTCTCCATTCATTTTATGTACTCTGTTACATTACAAACCATAGTAGAATGACAAATCAAGGTTGAAAAGCAAAACATCGTATATTGTCGAGGATTGTTGGGAGGGAGCTTATGCCATGAGAGCAGTGGACAATATCATACTAGTGCGGAGGTACGTGATTTCTAACATGGTATCAGAGTCATGTCTTCATGAGAGTTTATGCTCAAAATAGACAATATCATATCATTGTGAAAGTTCGTGATTCCTAACAAATATCACGTAAAGATTTCAAAATGTTTTTCTCTTCGTACTACTACAAAGGGAGATCTAGGCAAGAGTTGTCTTGAACTTTAGGCAATTCAACCTATGTCAGCTTTTCCTTCTGTTCTTTCCACTCTTTGATATCTGCTTTTATCTTCGCTTGCACACTCGCACTAAATCCTGGGTATGGTTCATATTTGAACAAACTTTGAAGAACCTGACACCAAACATCAGAAACAACAAAGTTGCTTCAATATCAACACCGACAAGTAACTCTCCGAATAACCAGAGAAGAAATACCTCAAAAAATACAAAGAATGGAGCCATTAGAAAAGGTTGAGCAAGATTGTCTAACAAAGCCGGTGCTCGTTTCTATCAAAAGATGAAATTAAATGGCTTAAGAATCATGAAGAGATTCATCAATTCACTGAGATGAAAGTAACCTGTCTAACCTCAAATACTCCATGGTCTATTAACTGATTGGTCCAACAGAACAACTGAGCAGTCAGTACTATCTGATGGGCAACAGAAATGAATAAAATTTTAGACAAACAAACTCTCGTTTGAGATGGCCCCAACTTGTTCCCACCAAGATGTCAAACTTTAACACATCTACCTAACTCCAACTAAATTATATCAGATTGAGCTGTTTTCCAACGCTTGCCACTAATCCCATTCAATTCACTCAACAAGAGGATTAGAGATCGAAGTGGGTAAGCTATAGGAAACAGATTGATTTACTGCAAAAACCAAGGACCCATAAATTAAATTGGAGAGGAAGCAGGGAATTACCTTCCAGGTCTGAGAATAACCAAGTCTAAAGGCGAGTATGCTTGCTCCAACCCAACAAATCAAGCAAGGCAAAGCGGCATTGGACCCCGCTTTCTTATCGAAGACCACATAAGATGCAGCATATATTAAGGTGAAAAGAAATCCGAAGTTGAAGGCCAGGCCGCGGTCAAACCCACAAGGGGATTTGGGAATAGTGTAGAAAGATGGGGTGAAGTACAAATACTGAGGGTGGTAAAGAAAATTGGCCACACAAACAGAACATGAATGAAAATGTTGACTGGGTTGCTGTGATAAGCGCCATAGAAGGCGAAATGCCTCTCCAGATCAAACAAACCAGTCTTCCCCATAATTAAATTTTCCGGAAAAATAGACAAATAACCCCAACACGAAACGAAACGATTGCTAGAAAAGGTTCTCAGAAGAGGCGAGACGTGCAAGCTGAGGTGACTGGAGAGATTATGAGGGTTGGGAAAGGAATACTGTCCCCTAAGGCAATCCCATTGATTCGAGAAGATAAGCAGTTTTAAGTGGAGTAATTAGGTGGTACTTTTATAAATTGACAAAATTTGGGAATGATCCTTTCAGTCTATTTTACTTGGATCCTTTTTGTTTTTTGGACAGACAATTTACATAATTTTTCCATTATAATAAACGTTTCATATGTTTATGTTCTTCCAAATTTTTCAAATTTAATTTTTAGAGTTGAAATATGTTCCAAATTTTTTTTAGTCTATTAGAATAAATAAGGTAAATTGTCGTGACAACAGATATTGATCGGTATAAATTTGTCGAAATGTAGCCAACAGAGATAAAAACTTTTCAAAGGGATGTATCATCTACAAGGGTGGACAGAAATGGTTCCCTTATCCTATCTTCCTTCTTCGTGCACAAATAAGAATCCAAAATCCAGGTAATAGCGAACAGTTCCATCCTTTCATCTCCTATAATGGCTAAGGCTATTGCAGGCTTCAGCATGGTCAACCCAACCCTACATAGCTCTAATCTCCACCCACACAAATCAACCCTCATCCCACAACCCAAACTGGTATAGTGTCGTCTTTTTTCTTTCTGCCTCTAAACTCCATCCATTTTAACGTGCTCTGTTTGACCATTATATTATGATTGTTGCAGCCTTCGAACTCTGGAATTTTCGGTCATCAACAACTGGTAAGTTCCTCTGATTTCCACATACAATGGAAGTAAAATTGATTGACAAATTCATTATACGGAAGTAATCAGAAGTTCATGGGATTTTGTGGAATAAATAGATTGAAGATACAAAGCGCCAAAGAGGCTCTATGGGCAAGGTGAGTGCTTTCCCAGATTGGCAATTGATGGCAGTTCTAGTTGATCACTTGGACGGCCAAAGAGACCTTGTTACCCACAAATCTATTGTGCATCTTAGTGATGAAGCTATAAAGAATGTCTGTAAGTGCTTAATTAGGCTGACTTTTATGGACATTTATTATTGTAGACTGCAGACAGAATTAGGCCATTCAAATGAAAACTAACCTTCACTTTAACCATTGTTTAATATCAGACAGTCTTTACATCATGTTCACATGTTGGGGATGTCTGTTCTTTGGCTCCATGAAGGTACCATACATTCACTTTCAATGGGTTTGAGTTAAGCCAAATTGTTGGATATTGAACAAGATTATGGCTACAGGATCCATATTATGACTCAGAGGTGTACAGGAAAGATGGAGGAGATGGAACAGGACATTGGGTCTATGAGAAGGTGAAGTTCTTTTGTTGGGACTTGAGATCTTTAACAATGACACCACGCTGAAGGTTTTGTCTCTGTAAATGTCTGATCTTGCAGCAAGAGGACATTGAAGAAGAAGCAAGAGCAGACCTTTGGCGAGAGGAGCTGATAGAGGAGATTGAGCAGAAGGTTGGAGGGCTTAGAGAGTTGGAAGAAGCTGGAAGGAAATAAGAGATTAACAAGGGATATTGGCATCCATTTGTGTCATTAGTATAATATAGCATAAACCAGTCTGTGTATACATTAAAACACTTCAGATGCAGTAGCTGTTGGCAATATAGGGATTGTTTCAGTAAATTCTCACAGTTCTTTCCTTGTAGAAAAGGGAAACAAACGTAAACCAGCAGAAACCATCCAATAGGTAAAAAGTATCAGTTCGTCTACCATCAGAGGTAGTGACAATCTTGTATAAAAATCATCAGTTATGGGTCTGATAATTGTTTTAGGTTCATAAAGAATGAAAACTAAGGATAAGTGAGCATCAGAGAGATTCCCAACAGACGATCATCATTCTCAAGCTGAGATCTGATGTCCCTGTCTGTTTCATCGTCACTTGCTCAATTGATCAACACAAAACTGGAATCCATAACTAATCAAACAAACAGTAAAAGTCTTGAAGAAAAAGCGAGGATAGCAATGAACTTGTTCATCAAGTGAACAATAAGTATACTTCAAAGAAAATTGAAAAACTTCCTCCAACGTGGAGACGACGAGAACAAAAAAACAAACTTTGAAACCATTGGCGATAGATTCACAAGACACATCAGAATCCAGAGCCACTGGGGCGAATGAGACTAGGGTTTACAGAACGAAGTTGTATTATAGGGAAGGGTATCAGCACCAAGTGGCCGAAGGAAACGAAGATTTGTGTATGAAGCCTCCAGCCCAGTATGAAGGCCCATGATTTGGTTTGAACCGGCTGCTTGTTTTGTGATGGGCTTGAATGTGCTGATCAAATCAAATATTGGGTTAGGTTACTTCTCTGCCCAATGACTCAATAATTATAGTCCTTGCAGTTCTAAAACCCAGTAAAAAGTGACCATCTGATGCAGTGAAAGGTAAAGCAAGTAGTTTTGAATTCAAAATGGTGGGAGTAAAGGGCTCTGTTTGAAAAGTCGGATTGACAAGAGAAGAGTTGTAAAGAAATTGGCGGGATGGGAGGCGCGCATGCAGCATTCAAATATACCTTTAAATTTACTGCTAACTTTTTCGATGGACGTTGGGAGAGTTATTGGCAGACATTAAATGGGGTTCGTTTGTTGCTTAGGCTCTGTGTGCTTTCCATTTGAAAGAAAAACATATCTGAACAGAGAGAAAATGAAATGACCAAAACAAAAGGAGGGAGAGAGAGAGAGAGAGAGGGTTTTTATGATATCGAGAAGAACAGTAAAGCAGAGCAGAGTACAAGCTGCTTGTGCAGTAAACAGAGCAAAATGCAGTTAGCACTGCAACAGCCACTCGCGGCAACGTGCCACCGGCGGAGCATCCCCATCTGCTTTGACAGATATGAAGAGGCGGGTGGAAGGCATGGCCTGGGAACTCGATGAACAAATGGATGGCCTAAGGGTCCCGCTTAACATAGAATCCAATACAAAGTTAAAGGACTTAGTTGCTTATTTGTGGTTTCAATGCAAGCAGAAACACAGTGTACGTGGGCTGTTCATCCTTACATCATCCATGTGATTGCCAATACTGCAACTTTCCAAACAATGTTCCAAACAGAGCATTAGGGTTTCACAAAAAGTTTGGTGGGTTATTGTAAAGATTTGAATTTTGTGTGTTTTTGGGCATCCAGTGATAGAATGACACGAGAGGAACAGTAAAGTGAAAAAGGTGGATTCTTTTGATAGCTTGTTCACGAGGGTTATTCATGAAAGTAAATGAGGCGGCTTTTTGAATTTGGGGTATGGATTCACCATTTGTATGAACCTTAATTAATTTGCTTATTCATTCCGTCCAACTTTTTGGCTGTAAAGTGATGATTTTAAAAAGAAACAGAGGGAAAACAAGAACAAGTTACAGAGCATAATGATGTCCAAATTCAAACATTTCTTTTTCATCTTTTGAATTGATTTTGGCTCCACAAACCCAACATTCTACCCATTTAAACATTTGAATGGAGTCGTACTTAACCTTCCTTTTGGCTTTCCCATGCGTGAATGCTCCAAAGAGCACGCCTAAACAGGTGCAGCTAATGCTTTAGAACTAAGAAATGATAGAAAAATGCCCAAAAGAAGGTTAAAGAAAAGGCAAAAAAAGAAGTGTTAAAGTCCTTCTAGGAGGAGAGGATATGGAAGTGAAGGATCTGTCAATGGCATTAGTAGAGCAAAAGGGTATGGGTATAGCAGCGCGCTTAAGAGGGTCTAACTGTTATTAAAGGCAAAAACAGATAACTTTTTGGGGTTCTAAACGTTATTAAATTCTTGGAAGGTAGAATCGTTCACCAAATTTCTGGGGAAAAAGTGATATTCAAAAAGATTTAGAAAACCACGTGATTTCATGAAAAGATGTTATTCCCCACCACAGAACAGACAGCAACTGTATGGACATGGCAGTTTGATGCCCCCACACGTCGGTTATTATCCCTGGCGTTGGCTAAAGCAATGGCCAAAGAATATTTCTCGCCTCTCCTTTTCTCTATATATGCCCACCTTCCTTCCCTGGCCTCACCAAATCAGCCCTTTTGCCTCCTCTTCCTCTTTTTTTTGTCTTAGGCATTTTCACAAACACATTGTAGACCTTCCAAACAGGTACGTTAATCTCTCTAATCCCCATCATTTTAAGGGTGTTTTAGATTCGTCTTCGTGAAATTTACTGTTTTTTTTTTTTTTTTTTTTTTTTTTGCAGGTAAATGGCGTTTCTTGGATTAGTCTTGGTGGGTCTTCTTCTATCTTTGGGATGTGATTCTGTTCATGGCAACAATGGAGGAGGAGGTTGGACTGATGCCCACGCCACGTTCTACGGTGGGGGCGACGCTGCTGGTACAATGGGTATGTAAAAAGATTAAAACTTGCGCATTTTTATAGAAACCCTCGAGCTGAAATTTACAACCACAGGCTTTTCTGATGTTTTTGTTGTTGTTGCAGGAGGGGCTTGTGGGTATGGAAACCTATACAGCCAGGGATATGGGACGAACACAGCAGCTCTGAGCACAGCCCTATTCAACAATGGACTGAGCTGTGGGGCTTGCTTCGAAATCAAGTGCGTAAATGACGCAAGATGGTGTATTTCAAGCTCCATTGTGGTCACTGCCACCAACTTTTGTCCACCAAACAATGCTCTCCCCAACAACGCCGGCGGCTGGTGTAACCCTCCACAGCACCATTTCGATCTCTCCCAGCCCGTCTTCCAGCAAATCGCCCATTACAAAGCCGGCATTGTCCCAGTGGCATACAGAAGGTACTAAATTTGTTTAACTCATCGCAAAAGTGAAAAAGAGACTAAGCAGATAGACAAATGCAGGGTTTCTTGTCAGAAGAAAGGAGGCATCAGATTCACAATCAACGGCCATTCATACTTCAATTTAGTTCTTATAACCAACGTCGGGGGAGCTGGGGATGTTCATGGAGTGTGGATTAAAGGGTCGAAAACAGGGTGGGAAGCAATGTCGAGGAACTGGGGCCAGAACTGGCAGAGCAACTCGTATCTGGATGGACAAAGGCTGTCGTTCAAAGTAACCACCGGCGATGGGCGGACGGTGATATCCAACGGCGTAGTGCCAGCTGGGTGGAGATTCGGTCAAACTTTTAGTGGGCTGCAGTTCCCATGAGCCGGAAGGCAACATCAGAAGAAAACAGAAGAGAGTTTATTTTCCGTGGTCTTTTTAAAAACCTTTTAGGAAGTTGTGCTAGAAATTTGCAGTGTTGGAGTGGGCACTGTTTTTAATGTGCCCTCTTTCTCCTTTTGCTTTGGTATTTAGTGTTTTAGAGAGAGTTTGTGGGTTTGGGCTTGGGGTTCTGCTGTGTGTTTTTAAGGCAATGGCAGTGTGAAAGATAGTGGCAGCGGTAGGCATTTGACACCCGCCACTTTGTTTCTGCGTTATAGCTTAGGACATGGGAGTGTGTGGGGTTTATAATATGTAGTTTAGTATTTAGGTTGGTTAACTCAAGAGGCTGTATTAAGAGATGTCTGTAACTACAGCTCTTTTGATACCCTATTATGTCTTAAGATATATGTAGTTTGCTTCTATGTTCTTCTAGATTTGGTGTCCTATTTTCATGGAGGAATGTTTTTAAAGAAAAATAGTGGGATTCTAGGAGATTAGAACAAAACATTATTTACAAGGGTGTTGAAACTAACCAATGCTGATATGTAACAAGCAAAAGCAGACAATATTTACTACTAGTGGCTTGGGTTGCTACAAAAACGAAAAAGTAATTGACTTTCAAACACCAAAAACTCGATAGCTCGAGTTACAACAGCAAAGAATATAAGAACTTTCTGGAAGAACACGGCAATGTCACGAAGGTGCAGGGTAACATGGGTGCATTTGTTCATTTTTTTACTTAAAGGTGTATGACATCTCAAGGCCACAAATGCATTTAGGTTTTATTAATCAACTCAAGCCACTCCAAGTTTGGTACAAAAAAGTGACACCTTTAGGAAATAAGCATATTACCAAAGTGGTCAATTTGAGGCCCAACTATGTTTCTACCCAATTTGAGGCCCAACTTTTAACCAAGCCCACTGGACCTCGCAGAGGCCCAGGTCAATTTAAGCGCATTTTTTAAAAATTGTTTAAAGTGGAGATTTCTTCTGATTGGAGGGCCACTTGTCATAGTCCAATTGGCAAGTCAAGATTCCACGTGGATATATTCCTCAATCGTAACTCTGGCAGGAGACCCGCCCACGTAGGAAAGGTGTGGCCCCACATTATCATTTATCAACCAATGGAAGCATAGAAACAGATTGAAGATATTACTCAAAGGATAAAGCGATAAGGCCCCGTCGTCCCCTTCGGGCAGTCCAGAACTCCCGACCAATTTCCAGCCGTTAGATCGTGAAAATCTCGTGAATGAACCCTCAGATCTGAAGAGCGAACAAGAACCACAAACTTAGCATGGAAGTGATGTTACAAAGGCCTCCAAATTACTCCCCCATTTCTTCCTCAATCTCCCCCACACAAAAGTAGATCGTTCAGGAGAGATGGCCACCGTCACTACTCAAGCTTCCGCCGCCGTTTTCCGGCCATGCGCCGCCCGATCGAGATTCCTTACTGGTTCTTCCGGCAAACTCCACCGTATGCTGTCGGTTAAACCAGTCACTGCTTCGTCTTCTTCATCTTTCAAGGTTGAAGCCAAGAAGGGAGAGTGGTTGCCTGGTCTGCCATCTCCGGCATACTTAAATGGCAGGTAAAACCATACACTAGAAATCTACTCTTAACTTGCGTTACGAACTAGAAGTGATTGGAAAAATTGGGTTTTCTCCTAAGCCAATGATTAAACGAAATGCAGTCTTCCAGGGGACAATGGATTTGACCCACTGTCTCTAGCCGAGGACCCAGAGAACTTGAAGTGGTTCGTGCAAGCGGAGCTGGTGAACGGCCGGTGGGCTATGCTGGGTGTCGCCGGAATGCTTCTTCCGGAGGTTTTCACGAAGATCGGAATCATCAACGCTCCTCAATGGTACGACGCCGGAAAAGCAGAGTACTTCGCATCGTCTTCGACTCTGTTCGTGATCGAGTTCATCCTTTTCCATTACGTGGAAATCCGAAGGTGGCAGGACATCAAGAACCCCGGCAGCGTGAACCAAGACCCCATCTTCAAGCAATACAGTTTGCCCCCAAATGAAGTGGGTTACCCCGGTGGGATTTTCAACCCCCTCAATTTCGCTCCCACTCAGGAAGCCAAAGAGAAGGAACTAGCCAATGGTAAGCTCTTACAACTAAACCTCTAGATATAAACTCCAGATTTGTCTTATGATATGAATTGGTGTTTATTTCTTGTACAGGGAGGCTTGCGATGTTGGCGTTTTTGGGGTTCATTGTGCAACACAACGTGACAGGGAAGGGGCCGTTTGAGAACCTTTTGCAGCACATTTCTGACCCATGGCACAACACCATTGTGCAGACGTTCAGTGGCAACTAAATTTGGTTTGTAGGAAGAGAAGGTTGGTGTGTTAAAAGTAAATGGTTGAGATTGTTTTGAGAGCTTGTTTTTGGAATGTGATATGAAACAACATAGTGGATCTCAGTGTACAGTGGTGGGAGGCTTCCCATGTAGCTTGGATGTTGTTTAAATGACACGATCCTTCCACTTATTACACATTCCATGAACATGAATTGCCTTTTGCAGCTTCATTCATATTCAAACTCTAAATTATCAAAACTTTCTTATAATTCTAACGAGAGAGTCTTAACAAGTCAAGATATTATAAACATCTTACCAAAAACCGAAGAACGCCACGCCCCTTTTTCGAACTTCAGCTTTGAAGTACACTGAATGGACAAAACTGTTCCTTAGCTGATTATCGTTGATTGTTCATCTTTAACTTGGTATCTGCTGTTCTGGGCTGGATTAGATGATGTCTGTTAATGCTTCAAGAGGGACCAATCAGATACAAATCACCGTCAACCTCACGATTTTAAAACGTGTTTTCTAGGAAGAGGTTTCTACACCCTTATAAAGAATATTTCATTACCTTCCCCAGCCAATGTGTGATCTCACAATCCACCATCTTGGAGGCTTAGCGTCTTTGCTGCCGCACCATCGGGTGACTGGCTTTGATACAATTTGTACCAGCCTAAGCCCACCAGCAGTAGATATTGTCCGTTTTGGCCATTACGTATTGCCGTCAGTCTCACAGTCTTAAAACCCATCTACTAGGGAGATGTTTCCACACCCTTATAAGGAATATTTTTGTTACCCTCTCCAACTAATATGGGATCTCACAAGAACAAATGACCAATTGAGTTATTATAATACCTGTAGGTAGAATCGATCGATTCCAGTATGAGACGTGGAAACTTAACAAAAAAATATTGGAATGTTCTTATTATGCGAACAACAAGCTCATTGGCTGCATACAGTATCATGTAGAAGCGTTGCTTTATGCCTTCATGAGTGATCTGTGTAGAACCTATGATTGACGGGTCAGAGTTCAAAAGGAAGTTCAACGTATTGGGAAGGAAAGATGAAAGAAGTGAAAGAAAAAGCATAAAATGGAAGTGAAAGTGGAAATTGGGAATACATTTGTAAAGTTAAAATTCTTAGCAATCCCACTATCAGAGAAATTGGATGTTCCTTTCTTCTTTTTCTTTGGATTATGGGGAAGTGGTGCTTCACATCCACACTTCTTTCTTGTGGATGCTTTTTCAAACAACAGAATTTCTACCTACTTTGTTCGATCAAATGTCAGAGGAACACCAAAGAAACTGGGTCATTAAGTAACTTAGTGGATGGGATTCATTATTTTCACCTGTTCGAATCATTTCCACGTTGAGGATCCTTGGGAGGGAGTCTCACGTTGGCTAGTTAAGAGGATTATCATGGATTTATAAGTAAGAAATACATCTCTATTGGTATGAGGCCTTTTGGGGAAACAAAAAACAAAGTCACTAGAGTTTATGCTCAAAGTGGACAATATCACACCATTGTAGAAGCTCGTGGTTCCTAACCTCTTATCTTCTTTTCTAATTAATCAAGATTTGTTATGGGTACTAAACACTAACAGCTACTGCTGAGCCTGCTACGATGTAGTTTTACTATTAGGAGCATTTAGACTTCTAAAATAATCTATAATATGGCATAGAAAGCATAAGCAGAAAGACGTGTTATAGTGGGAAGTTGACTCTTAATCCCTGTGAGCTTTGGGCAATTTCTTCTGAACAAGTCAACTTTGGCTGAAAAGCCAATAATTTAGGGTGGAGATGGTGGGATTTCATGGAGTAAAAGCTTCTGACCATATTGATAAAAATAATCAGATTACATAAAAGAAAGGCGTTTCTTTTCAGATATTTGAAAGCATGCACTTGAGATGATAGTGGAAATAGCACTAATGGTTGGATTTTACTCCTCGCACAGTACAAATATAATACAAGTCACAGTGTAAAGTTGATAACCCATTCTTTGGGTTTAACTTTAGTGATTGAGACAGAGATTTCAAATTGTTTAACTGAAGATTGAAAAAAGAAAGAAAGAAAAAATAAAAGAAAACTGAAATGTAAGCAGAAAGCCATTTGAAATCTATGTTTCTTTCACTGAGTGAGAGTTTCAGTGCAAATGGACAACCAGGCTCACCAGAATTGAACAAATAGCAATAAATTCAATTGAACAAATAGCAATAAATTCGCTAACTTCCTTCAGAACTAAACCAAAGATAAGCTTATGGATGTGAAGCAATGGACGGTAGTTTTCACATGGGAGAGAAAACAGCAAAAGGAAAAATAGAGAAATATCAAGAGAAATCCCAAGAATGATTTGTGGCATTAGCTTCTGGGTCCTACAGCAGCTGATTTTCTGCATAATATGTGGTTTATATTTCATCCTACTAACAAAATATCTACATATTCCTTTGCTCATCAATCACGGACGACCATGACGTTTATCACTTCTGTTTAAGTGAAAATACTAGTTTTTGTGTGACATTTTGATCATCTAACATCTTTTTTTCCACAAAAGAGGGAGGCAAGGGAAAAGGATTTGGAAAAGGAGAACCCCAAGTTTATCACTTCAGATCAAGGGCCAGAAACCTTCCATCCAAGTTTGTATGTTTTACCAGTAGAAATGAAAGAGAGTGGAAAAGAAAGGTGTTTCTGTGATCCAGTCTTTTGAAGTAAGTTTTTTTGGTGTTTTGTAGGGATTGAAGGGGAAAGGGACTTCGCTTTTCCTGTGTTATTTTTGGTTGGTCTGATATCTACTGAGGGTTCAAACTCAGACCTACCCTTCTAGGAGCCTTTTTGGTGCTCACCAATTGACACTCTACTTTTGACATGCTTAGCTGTGTGGAATATTTCATCTTGTCCTGGCAGTTGGCATTATGTTGAGATATTGAAAGACACTTTCATCCTTTGACAGTGACAGATATGGGTCCTTCTGCTATATGGTTGTTTGTATATTTCCAGGTGAAAGATGACACTCATTTCTTTAGATCTCATCAATACAATGATTTGAAGTTTGGGTTTGGTTATCCAGCCAGGAGGAGAATGCAAAGGGACAGCCATCATCAAAATTGAAGCAAACTTTAACTGCATTTTTATACATCTGAGAAACTTTTGCTGCAACTCTACTTCAGCTATATTCACATATGTAAAGATATGTACAGCAAAAGGATGGCTAGCAAACCCACAAACTCAAGACATTAAAAAAAGAAAGAGAAAAAAGAAGCAATGCCTGCTACTCTTTCTATAGAGACAACAATACCAGGATTCTTGAAAAACTGGATGGCTTCTTGGGCAGAAGAAGCTTGAGATTGATGCTTGTCTCCACTTCATGCTTTAGCTTCTGAAGTTACAGAGGTTTTTACAATGAACCTGAAAAATTAATTATACGGAGGAGGAAGGAAAGTGACCCCTAAGGCAGATTAAGGGAGAAAAAATCCAACTTCCCCCTTATAAAGTGGACTAAAATTTTACATCACTAAAATACCATTCACGAATGCTCATGGAAAGTAAGAGATCTTGAGAACGCTGCAGGGTTGGCTTGCAAAACAGGAGATAACACTTCAGATACACTATTCTTTTGACCACCCTTTGATTGGAAGATCTTAGACAGATTAACAGCTTTGGTTGAATCATTCTTAATACCAAGTGTCTCCCATATCGAACTCTTAGCGGCTTCATTTGGATCATCAATCCTCAAAGTTTTGGGAACCAAAACAGATCCATTTTTCTGTTTTGGAGGTTCTTCCCTCCCAGAATTATCAGCCTGGAGTTTGTCACCGTCTCTGGAATGCTTCCCTAGTATAGGAGAAATTGGACCAGAGTTTGGAGAACAGGGATGTGGAGAGAACCACGGCACATTCCAAGCACCTGGAACGCTACAGCTCCAGTATGTCGCAGGATAGAATGATAAAGGAACTCCAGGAGGGTAGAAAGCCGGTGGAGGTAGTGGTGCATTCCATGTACAAGGCCAAGGAACACCGGGAAGATATGGGATTTGAGGGAAACCATTGATGTTCTGCATCTGTGGTTCTTGAGGGCACCTCCTAGCTCCTTCCTCCGTTGAACTTGACACAGTCACTGAAGATGCACTGGAACAATCATCGCCAGTTTCCCCACCCTTACAAGGTGCTTTAATTCCTTGGTCTTCGAGTCTATGAAATTCATTCCTAGTTCCATTCAAGACCTTTATTTCCGGAGGATTGAGGACAGTGGCCATAGATTCACACACAGATGTGTTTACACTAAAATTGAGGACTCGGCCATTGCTTTTGGATGGTAGGTGGTTGACCCCATTGGGAATATCCATTTGTGCAGCTTGAAGAGCCTCTGAGATTGTAATATGACGGTAATGTGAGGCAGAGTTCTTGTTCTTTCGGCGGCCGGCTCCAACAGGGACATTTCTCCTATTACCGCCTTCAGTCCAATATCTTTGACAGGCTTTGCAAAAATGGCGTGGTTGGTTGACATTATAATTATTGTAATAACAAAACTTGGTTTCCATGCTATTGCAGCGGGGACATGGAAGTATTTTGTCTGGCTTCTTCAATTTCTCTTTTGAGTTGGGTGCGTCATTTTGTTCCTTCTCTGGTTTGTCATTCTCATCCATTGATAGCACTTCAGGATCCATGTGTGCCTCATTGGCCGTTTGTACACATGCAGAATCCTCCGAATCATGTAGAGTTTCTTCTTTTGCAGCTGAATTCTCAGTGGCTTTTCCTACATCCTAAAAATTGAAACAGTTCTTAATACTCTTTAGCTACTACAGATACCATATAACTTCAAAATTTATATATCAGAAATCAGTCATGTCAGCGAGAAAGCTCCACCTCACAAATCAATAGCAGATTAAGGACACTAGAGTTGGCAGTATAAGAACGTATAAGAATTAACAGTAATGATCTTTAATTCACACTTCTTTTCAAATCCTGAGTATTGTCCCAATATTTTCTTCTTCTTTCTCTCTTTTCGGTTGGGGAGGTTGGTGTATACACTGGTTTATTATCAAAGTACAAAGTCAAACAGCTAACAAATTATGGATTCCACCGAAACCTGAGAAAAGCCATATAAATTTGAAGACAATAGAGAACATCTCACTACTAATTGCGAGGAATAGGATATTCCAAAGAAACGATGAACAAGATGAATGACAATTTCAAGTTTATAGCTCGAACAATAAGAAGTGTAGCTTGTTGAAACCATGCTGGGTAACTTTCTGTGCTTCAAATTTTTGTTTTAAAGAGTGGAAAATCACCGATTTGCCGTTTCAAATGGGAAAAAAAAAAAAGGAACCTAAGACAAGATAGATTGATGCAGGGTTCGATCTTTGAATCCAAAAGAATTGCGGGTTCAATTTTCCCCCTTTGAACGTTCCTAATCTTCAAACATGAAAACCAAAATTAATATCAATTGGGACCCCCCAAAATGCCAGATTAGGGTACTTAGCAACGAAAGAGTTCAAAATCTGCTCGAGAAGGCGTTTACAAACAACCAATCAAAAACCGGAAACAGTAAAATCTGAAGAACATCTAAACGGTCAACACGCGAACCGCCCTGTCAGAGTACCGTAATCACCAAATAGGAAAAAACGGAAAGAGGGAAATAGCAAAAAAAGAAGCTCAGAAGCACAAGCACTGGAACAAAATTGGGTAAAACAAACAGGAGGAATTCAGGTCTGAGTGTACAAAATGTTGATTAACTGAACTGTACCTTTTCTACTGCCTCATCTCGATTTTCTTTCTGAGAACTAGAATCCGAATCGTCACTTTCGATCAACGGAACTTCACAGTCGGCCGGAAGTTGAATCTCCTTGCCGAAAATCTTAATCGCAGGGTCCTTAATTTCCAGCATTTTTTGAAGCCGAAAAGAACAGGGAAAGGAAGAGAAAAGGAAACGAAAATCGAGAGAGAGAGAAAAAGGAATTGGATATTGGATGATATTGGATATTGGAGGCAGTCTGGGCTGGCATTGGGCAACTCGGTCCTCGTTTTTGATCCGTTTAAGCAAGAGGTGGATGCCACGTCATCGTCCCATTTTCATTATCAGCCACAAGTTCCTTCGTACTCTGATTCTCGGTTGCACGCACATTTTGGTGCACCCTTCTCCCTTTTTTTCTTTTATTAATTAAACTATTATATTACTTAATTTCTCCATTTTCCCCCTTTTTATATTCCCTTCCCTAATTATTTTTAAGTGTATTTTGACTAATTTTTTCCTCATATTTATTTTTTTTTAAAAAAAAAATCACCATCTATTTTTCGACGAATTAAAAGTACATAAATTTTGGATCCAATTATTGGAAAAAGAAAAGTAAAGAAAGGAAAATAGTAAAAATTGCTACTTTTTATTTTCCGACGTGGCCCACGCATGGAAAAAGCTTCCCAGCTTTTTCCCAAGTAGTTAAACTAATACGTCTAATCCTCCCTCCACGTCTTCAAAATTCGACACGTGGGACAAATCTACAGCTTTTACCTTTCACTGCACTTTGTCCCCGATTAAATTCTCTTTTACACAATGCGACACGTGTCCCACTAGTGATGGCTTTTAAATATAGAAACTTATGCTATTGGACCACGTAAGAGTAATTAAAAAGCAATGCAAACAAAACCCTCTTTTGTCTTTCGGTGTAAAAAAGAGTCAACAGTTTTTTAATTAAAAATTAAAATGAAATGAAATTAATTTAATAATAAAACAAAAAACTAATTAATATGTCTACTTCATGGGTAAAGTTTTTCCAATTACATTATCTTAATAATAAGGACGGTCGCGTGGGCGGTTGGAGGATAATTAACCAAGTATTTATAATTAAAGACTCCTTAAGTTGACGTGGACTGGATTAAAACAATGTATTAAGGTATTGATTTAATGTTTAATGTTGGAGCATTAATTTGAGGGTGTGACACTTGGTCTTAATGCTCATTATAATAAGCTCTACTTTTCTTGTTTAAAAAATATACCCAAAAAAATCTTCCTCACTTCTTGTAATAATTTAATTTCTCATATCTTTACGCTTACGCCTTTGATGCAACCATTTTTATTTTAGACATTGTTTTAATTAAAAAAAACATTTATTCTTTTACTACATATGAGAAGTTATAAAATAATACACCTGAGATCTCATGTTACTTGGAGAGGGGAACCAAACATTCGTTACAAGAGTGTAGAAATCTCTTTCTAGTAGACATATTTTAAAACCGTGAGACTGACGACAATATGTAACAGGTCGATTATGAGATCCCACGTTGGCTGGAGAGGGCAATGAAACATTCCTTATAAGGGTGTGAAAATCTCTCCCTTGTACGCGCGTTTTAAAACCTTGAGGCTGACGACAATATGTAACAAGCTGACTCTGAGATCTCACATTGGTTGAATAGAGTAACGGAAAATTCCTTATAAGGGTGTGGAAACCTCTCCCTAATAGACGTGTTTTAAAACTGTGAGGTTGATGACGATACGTAACAGGCTGACTTGGAGAGGGGAATGAAGTATTCCTTATAATGGTATGAAACCTCTTTCTATACGTAACAGGGCGACTCTGAGATTCCACCTTGGTTGGAGAGAGGAACGAATTCCTTATAATGGTATGAAACCTCTTTTTATACGGAACAGACCGACTCTGAGATTCCACCTTGGTTGGAGAAGGGAACGAAGTATTCCTTATAACGGTATGGAAACCTCTTTCTAGAAGGCACGTTTTAAAATCGTGACGACAATACGTCATAAGTCGATTGTGAGATTCCACATTAGTTGGAGAAGGGAATGTCTTAAAACCACGACAAAGATACGCAGCGTGTCGACTGTAAGATCCCACGCTAGTTGAAGAGGGAAACGAATGAGCATTTTTAAATTGTGAGGCTGACGATTACAGGTCAAAGTAGACAATATTTAATACGACGAAGGATTACAGGTCAAAGTAGACAATATTTAAACCGAGAGGTGTCTAATCTTGTTGTTATTGCAAGCACCAATTTTTTACCATTGTTAGCCAATCAGAATTGAAACAAAAATCACATAGTACAATAATAATAATAATAAAAAGAAGGCACAGAATAAGTATTGGAAAAGATCTCAAGACAAAGGTCTAATTTTGAAGTCACTGTGGGGAAGGAGAAATCAATGGAGAAGGAGATGGATCCGCCGCCGGAGCTGGGGCTGGATCCGCCTCAGCATCAGGGGCTGGAGATGGAGCTCCGTTTTGATTAACTCTTGAAAACCCAAATTTCTTAATGAGTTCATTAGCAATCAACTCGTTAGCCTTGTCCGAAGGGTGATATTCATCCCAAAACACATATTTGCTTCTATCTTTGCACAGCACCGACGCCGGAATGCATGTAAGGGCCGGCCGGATCCTCCCAAATGAGCAACATGGCGAATCCGAGTTACTAAACCCTGCACAAAACAAACAATGTCCATTTCCTTTAAAAAATGTCGAACCGTTTGGTAATTCCGTTTGTTTCTTGTTTGTTATTTTCCATACCATATTTGCCGGGGTTGCTAATAACGTCGGCGACAACATCATAAGCATCTCCGAATTTGTAGGTGGCATTTGGAAGCCTGGTGGCGAGGCCATCAAGAAGGCCACTGGCAGCTTTGTTGAAGCTGAGGGCCAAATTGTTGGTTCTGTCTTGGCAATCGCCGGATGAAGTGAGTACCCTTTGCAGCGGAATGCAGCCCATTGGACCCAGCCCAAACGCCATCAATTGCCTTGCCCCCAAACTGTATAACAACTGCAAAACAAAAACCCATTAGAAAACAGAGATTTTTAATTTGAAGTGTGTGTTTACTTTAGAAATTAACAACCTTGAGTTGATCGCGAAGGGTTTCCATCAAATAAGTGATGAATGTTTGATCGTTGTATTTCCACGAATCGGAGTAAACGGGCATGAGATAATTGTTAATGAAATCGTTGCTTCCCAAAGCAACCACGTATCGAGCTTCTTCGAAGAACTCCTTGGCCTTTTCTTCCCCGATTTTGGCTTTGATCAGTTCTTGCGTCCCTCGAAAGAGCTGAATTTGTTTGTACAGACCAAACCGCTGAATCTGCAGGTTAATTCAATCTAAATCTTAATAAATTGCTTCTTTTAATTTGTCAATTTGGGTATGAATTCGAAACTCACGAAGTAGCCTCCAGTTTCGTTCAAGATTCCTCCACCCCCAGATGCGTAATTCACTCCATTTTCCAGAATTACATCTTCACTTAGCGAGGGATCGAGAAAAGCCGGTGGTCTGGGTAGACCCATTTCATCACCTGGGATAAAATGATTGGAGATTAGTGAAAAGTAACAAAATTAATGATATAATTAAAGGGGAGGGTGGGTTAATTAGGATACCGATAATGTCTGCAACAGTGCGGCCATTGCTGAACCTTCCATTAGGGAGTCCATTGCCGAAGTCAATGCCGTACCAGGGCAAGTTTGCCTGAGCTAAGCTCCTTGAAAGGTACATATTATTCCCGACGTCGGAGAGTGAGTCGCCGAATATGAACTGCACCGTCTTGGAGTGGCAGCTGGGAATGGCGGCGGCTGCTAAGAGGGTGAATAGCAGGAAACAGAGTGATGGTGCAGAGGAATTCATGGTTGATGAGGAAGGGTGAATTGGGGGTGGGCATGGTGGTCGATTGTGAAGGTTTTAAGAGAGGATGGGGTTGTTGTTGGGTTGATAAACAAACAATTGGTGATTCAAACCTACTGCAGCTACTTTGGTTTTTGAAAATTCTGGGCTCAGATGGTGACCTACTCGAGGTTGCTTCAACCGTGGGCTTAAGAATTATTAACATTCTTTTAAAAAGATGAACTTTATAAGTGTTATCTCGCACCCGATTGCAATAACGCTATCGGCTAGTGTTGAGTTTGGACTATTATGCTATTACGAGAGGTATTAGAGATAGACACATAATCATATGGCACTAAGCTTTGGAGTGGAGTGAGATGCATTTTAAAACGGTGATGGCAATGGACAAACACACAACATTCACTAACGAAACAGACAATATCTACTAGCGGTGGACTTAGACTCTTACAAAAGCATCAATAAAACTGAAAATATTCTTAAGATGATCTCCAAACGCTTTCAACGTTGTTCGAAGCACTCGTTCGGTACGTCAAAAAAAAATGCAACAAAAAAGGTACCTTTTCTTAATTCCACAGGAGATTTTTCTCACAAAACCAAAGGGTGGCGTATGCATTCATTGATGTGCAGATCGAAATGGGTTTATTTTATTTTTAGTCGTAATAAAAGTGATATTTTTGAAACAATTTTGTTTTTATTGTTTTTTTTATGGAGGCAAGGACGGTAAGCCACGACACGTAGGTTCGTAGCTGAGTTGGCGTTAATTAATTGGCTGCATGAATGATATCTTTTCTCGCGTGGAAGAGCTACAAACAAAGCTAAAAGAGTGGAAACGTGGCACAATGCTAGTCGAATATTACTAACTATAATTAAATAAATTAAATATATGAAAAGGGTATCCTAAGAATCTAGTTCAATTATCCATTTCTAATATCCATCGTCCATTCTCTCCATCCAACGGCCAGCACACACTCACATCTCAAACCATATCCGTTAAATATATAAAAATCACGCATCGCACTCCAACCGCCATTATTCCATTTCGAGCTTCACTCCCCTGCTCGACGAAATGGCCTCCGTAGCGCTCAAATCCTTCACTGGACTCCGTCAATCGTCGCCTGAGAAGCCCCATTTCGTCACTCAAACGAAGGCCACCCCGAACCTCCAATTTCGGCGTCGATTTTATGTTTCCGCTGCCAAAACTAGCCCTAAAATCGCCGGCCGCAACCTCAGAGTTGCGGTGGTTGGCGGCGGCCCTGCTGGAGGATCGGCCGCTGAAACTCTCGCCAAGGGTGGCGTTGAGACTTTCCTGTTCGAGCGGAAGCTCGACAACTGTAAGCCTTGCGGTGGGGCGATTCCGCTGTGCATGGTTGGTGAATTCGATCTCCCGTTGGATCTGATTGACCGCCGTGTCACGAAGATGAAGATGATCTCTCCATCGAACGTTGCCGTCGACATCGGCCAGACCTTGAAACCTCACGAGTACATTGGGATGGTTCGGCGAGAGGTTCTGGACGCGTATCTTCGCGAGCGAGCCGCTGAGAATGGAGCTAATGTGATTAATGGCTTAGTCATGAAATTGGACCTTCCGAAGGAACGAAATTCACCATATGTCCTTCACTACACTTCGTACGATGGAAAGAAAGGAGGCGTCGGAGAGAAGAAGACATTGGAGGTTGACGCCGTGATTGGTGCCGACGGAGCCAATTCTCGCGTCGCCAAGGCCATTGACGCCGGCGATTACGATTACGCCATCGCATTTCAGGTAAATCGATTTTAGGGTTAGGGTTTATTTAAGGAGAAATTAATGAGCTTCTCTTTTTAGTATTTACTCGCCAATTAGATTGAACTGTGTTAAAGTAGAGTATTGGGGGTTTCCGATTTCAGGAGAGGATCAAAATCCCAGATGACAAAATGGTGTATTACGAGAATCTTGCAGAGATGTACGTAGGTGACGACGTTTCGCCGGATTTTTACGGGTGGGTGTTCCCAAAATGCGACCACGTCGCCGTCGGCACCGGCACCGTGACTCACAAGGCCGATATCAAGAAGTTTCAAATAGCCACACGAAATAGAGCGAGAGACAAGATCTCAGGGGGGAAGATCATCCGAGTTGAAGCACATCCAATCCCAGAGCACCCACGTCCACGAAGACTGGCCGGGAGAGTGGCACTGGTGGGCGATGCAGCCGGGTACGTGACAAAATGCTCTGGCGAGGGCATATATTTCGCAGCGAAGAGCGGGCGAATGTGTGCAGAAGCAATCGTGGAGGGGTCGGAAAACGGGAAGAGAATGGTGGAGGAATCAGACCTGAGGAAGTACTTGGAGAAGTGGGATAAAACCTACTGGCCGACTTATAAGGTTTTGGATGTGTTGCAGAAGGTGTTTTACAGGTCGAATCCGGCGAGGGAAGCTTTTGTGGAGATGTGCGCTGACGAGTATGTGCAGAAGATGACGTTCGACAGTTACTTGTACAAGAGAGTGGTGCCTGGGAACCCATTGGAGGACTTGAAATTGGCTGTCAATACCATCGGAAGCTTGGTGAGAGCCAATGCTCTGAGCAGGGAGATGGACAAAGTCAGTTTATGAGAGAACTGTGTCTAATTATAAGAAAAAACATAAATCTTTAGCTTCCCAAAGCACCCAGAGATCATCATTTCATGTTAATGAATCCTCATACTTCACTTTTGTGGAGTTGATTTCCCTTACTCAAACCTGTGTGCGCAATGAAAGAGACCATTGTTTTCAATATTAAGAGCCACCCTTCAATGGTGTTGAAAAGGCAATTAGTTAGAATAATTGAATTTGATTCTATAAAGCATATGTAAGCAATTAAATCTTATTGGTTGACATTTAGGTTGCGTGTTAAGTAAGCCTTTCTACTTTTGATTCAAATTACTAATTTAATACAGAATTAGATCACAAATTGGCTACGAAGAACTATTATATGAAAAGGGATACGAAAAGAATAAGTAAACTAGAACTTAAACTGGGTATTAATTTATTCAGTGATAGAGAGTGAGTGGGCAATCGGGAACGTTGAAGCGATGGAGAGAAGTAACGGCTGAGATTGGGGGATGAAAATGGTTGAAAAAGGGACAGGATTCGCATTACGGCGGTGTATTCGGTAGAGAGTAAGAGAAAGGGAAACAATATATATAAACCTTGGGTATTCAAAAAGAAGTGCTACGCCCAAGGCTTTCAGGCGGAGATCTCTGCGACCCACAATTCCATTTTCGGGAAATACCCTTTTGAGCCTTGTAAATCTCCGATTACCCACTTTCCTCTTTCATTTCGAGCTACGATCTTTCAGGGTTTCAAGGTTCCATTTCTCTTTCTCCTTTGTTTGTTTGTTTGTTTTTCACTTCCTCGGGAGTGAACTCTGTTCTGGGTGGAATGTTGATTCATTATTTATCATAGATCGATTTGTTTCTGTTGGTTTCAAATGCTATGGATCTGACGGACTATTGCGTGATTTTGTTTATACAATCGTTTCTGGAAGCTCAGTTCTCTGTTTTTGAAGCTGGGTTTTGGATTAGGAACTCTTTTATCCTTTCACTTTGGAACGTGAGCTAAAAGGGTAGATCTCAAACGATGTTTCGTAGGATTGAAACTTTACATTCATGTTGTTTGCGTAGAATGGTTCTTGATTTCTTAGGATCTTTATTTTTCTGAAGGAATCATATGAACCCACTTGTTGAAATTGGAGCAGTTGTCTTAATTCTTTAGTTACCGTTCTTACCAGCTTATATATTGATGGAGATTCACCTGATTATGAAAATGACTGACACTTCCCCTGCCTCCCCTTGATAGAGTCAGATATGGCAGCAACATCGGCAGCTACTTTGTCCATTGGAGCAACTGCATCACTTAATTCTAAACTCAACTCATTTTCCCAATCAAAATCTGCAGCCTTGAGGGTCAATTCACGAGAGTCTCTTCCAAGCTTCTGCGGCCTCAAGGCAGCTTCTTTTCTTCGATGCGACTCGGAATCATCTTTCCTAGGGAACCAGAGCAGTACCGCCCTATGGCGTCATCTTGCTCCATCAGCTCAAAGAGTGAACCAGAATGTTTATAAAAATCTTCAACCTCAAGCATCTTACAAAGTTGCTGTTCTTGGAGCTGCTGGAGGTATTGGTCAGCCTCTGTCGCTACTCATCAAGATGTCGCCGTTAATTTCGACCCTGAACCTTTATGATATTGCAAATGTCAAGGGTGTTGCTGCTGATATTAGCCACTGTAACACTCCCTCAAAAGTTCAGGCTTTCACTGGACCCTCTGAATTAGCCAATGCTTTAAAAGATGTAGATGTTGTGGTCATACCTGCTGGGGTTCCAAGAAAGCCTGGTATGACTCGTGATGATCTCTTCAACATCAATGCTGGCATAGTGAAAACTTTGGTCGAGGCAGTTGCCGATAATTGTCCCGATGCATTCATTCATATCATTAGCAACCCTGTGAACTCGACTGTGCCAATAGCAGCAGAAGTTCTAAAGCAGAAGGGCGTGTTTGATCCAAAGAAGCTTTTCGGGGTTACTACATTGGATGTTGTCCGGGCAAACACGTTCATCGCTGAAAAGAAGAACCTTAAACTGATCGACGTTGATGTACCGGTTGTTGGGGGGCATGCGGGTATAACAATTCTTCCTTTGCTGTCAAAGACTCGACCTTCAGTGAGCTTTACAGATGAAGAAGTTCAAGCACTGACTGTTAGGATTCAAAATGCGGGAACTGAGGTCGTGGAAGCGAAGGCAGGGGCGGGATCTGCTACCCTTTCAATGGCATATGCTGCAGCAAGATTTGTCGAATCGTCTCTTCGTGCTTTGGATGGAGACAGTGATGTCTATGAGTGCACATTTGTGCAGTCTGATCTAACTGAGCTTCCCTTCTTTGCATCGAGAGTTAAGCTTGGGAGGAAAGGAATTGAAGCCTTTGTAACGTCTGATCTACAGGGTTTAACCGAGTACGAGGAGAAGGCTCTTGAAGCTCTAAAGCCAGAACTGAAGGCAAGCATTGAGAAGGGCATTGCTTTTACACAGAAGCCTTCAGTGGCTGCTTGAAACGACCTTGGTTGTCCGGAACATGCTTGGAGCGTAGCAGCAGCATTGAATCCCAAGCAGTTCCTTTTGTTTGGTTTTCATTGTACCCCGTCTGATGGAGAACTTCCTTTTGAGATATTAATTGCTGCTGTAGAATATCAAAAAAAGAATGTAGTCCGTTCAATAAGAGTTCCTAGTGATTGAAAATTTTGTAATAACATGGTTGGTAAGACTGTGCACCTCATCTCAAGACTCTTAAGATTGATTCTTTTTTGGGTTAATACCCGAACGATATAGAATCTATTGGTTGGTAAAGTTCAGAAGACCATTCACAGTTACTGCCCAGGCAGTCTACCGCTAGCAAATATTGTCATTTTTGGGTTTTTCCTTTTTGAGCTTCCCCCAAAGGTTTTTAAAACACATCTGTTGAGAAGAGGTTTCCACACTCTTATAAAGTATCGTTCTCCTCTCCAACTGATGTGGGATTTCACAATCTACCCTCTTAATAGCTAGTAAAGGAGAGATTTCCACACTCTACTTTATAAAATATGTTTCGTTCTCTTCTCTAACCGATGTGAGATCTCATAATTTTCATCGACCAAGTCCCTTCCCTAAGCTTTAGTCAAGCAACGTATCTCCTAGTGTATGACTTGGGTTGCTCGTTTAGCTTCATCACAATCTGTCCCGGAAGCCTACAAAATGTGGTGAGAACTAGAAGCAAAACATCATCATTCTCATGGAATTTAAGACAGCAATGAGTGGACAGAAATAGTGAATGAGAAATCGAAGAAGGAAATTTGTAATGAGATTCATTGTCTAACAACTTAAAAGAGATTCAGTCGTTACTCATTTTCAATTCCAACCCGAAACTCATCTGTAGAAGCAACTCGAGCTATTTTTTCCAACTTTCGATTCAACAGACAAAATGCAGATGATCAAAAGAGCTTAGTCGGACACAAACTTTGCATCCAACAGGCAACTGTCATCCAGCTTCTGTTGTAATATCATCCTCCCGCCTGTGACAACAACTCTCCCATCTTCAGAACGAGCCTGTGGCCATTAGAACAAGCTGAATGCTCTGGGGAATTTTTCCTTGTGGGTCAGTCTATATTCTGAGAATCTGAAATGGACGGTGTTGCTACCAATAATCGTTGCAGGAACACCGACCCTCTCGGAAATGATGGAACCGACTTCGGTCCCTAACAACCACTTTTCGGTTATAAACACTTGAGACATATTTAGCAAAGTTATGACAATCCATGCAAGTACGAAGATTGTTTGCCACTCTGATGGTTCTTCCTGGCGGGGTTGCAAGAACCCCAAAGGCTATGGCCAATTTCTCACTATGGAAAGAAAGCGCATACCCCTTATCTTCTGCCTTTAAGTTGTGTAATTCAGATGATATTTCAGCTTCATAACCTGCAATCTTTAGCTGCTTGTTGATCTCGTCCAGCTGCTCGTAGATCTTGTCCTTCATCGGATGCGAAATATCATCCACAGCAAACTCATGCACCACCCCATTCAGTTCTATTGTGGTGCAGCCGGGTGTAGTATAGATACCCCTTTCCTTCATGAATTTCCTCAATTCAGTTACCTTGACCCAGTTCCCAGCCGAAGAATAAATGTTCAGCAGCAGCACATAATCACCTGCTTCTTGAGATTTGAGTTCAATCAAATGCTCAATTATGCGCTCCCCAAGGTTTGCATGACCGTGAATTCTGCAAGCTCCAAGAAGGGTCCTCCACATTGTCGCATCTGGATTCACCTCCATTGACATTACGAGCTGATAGGCTTGGTCGAGCATTCCAGCACGACCCAAGAGATCAACCATACATCCATAGTGATGGACGGTGGGAACTATCATGAACTCTTGTCTCATACGATCAAAAAACGCCATTCCTTCATCAACCAGCCCACAATGGCTACAAGCAGAAAGAACTGCAGTGAAAGTATGATCATCAGGCTCAACACCCTTCTTTTGCATCGCCCAAAACGCTTCAATAGCTTCTCTCCCGTGTCCATTCATCGATAACCCGGAAATCATCGCACTCCACGAAACAACATTTTTCTCAGGCATTTTATCAAACACTTCATACGCCTTATCCACACGTCCACACCGCGAATACATGGATATCAGCGAATTGCACAAATTACTCTCGGTATTATAACCGTGCTGTTGAATATGACTATGAATCCTTTCGCCAAATTCCAATGCATTCAAGTCCGCACAGGCTTGGAGAAGAAGTAAACAGGTAACTTTATCAGGTTTGCAGAGATACGTTGGACTCTGCATGATCTCAAACAAACCCAAAGCATCCCTTGTTCGTTTATTTCGAGTTAGACACGAAATCAAAACGTTCCAAGCAACAACATCTCTTTGAGGAATTTCATCGAACAGTTTGCATGCATCCTCAAGTTTGCCACAATGAGAATACAAATCCATCATGGAGGTGAGCAAAAGACTATCCGATTGATGCCCATTTCTAAAGATCCTTGCGTGAATCTGAACCCCACTAAATAATGAAAGCATTCTTATACACGACTTAACGGCAAAGGAAGAAGACAAAGGATCAGCATGAACACCTCGCCTCTCCATATCTCTGTACATGTACAATCCCTCCAGAGGTGAACGGCTCAACGAGTAGGCTCTCAACAGCGTATTGTAATGAGAAACAAATGGGTTCGTCAGCTGAGAGAAGAATCTTCGCGAATAGCCCAATTCGCGAAAAGGCGCGGAAACGATGCGAGTCAAGAAGCGGAGGGAAACAATGGGGTCTTGAATGAAAGACGTGCGGATCATGTGGGCATGGATTTGCAGCAATTGTGATTTGTGGGTGCATGACTTTATGAGAGAAATCAGCGGCTCTCTATCGAAGCGAAGCGTTGAGTTTTGTTCACGAAATTTGGAAGAAAGCAGAGAGATCGGAGAGTGAAGGAGAGAAGCGGTGGATGCGAAATGAGGAAGGCGAAGGGAATGAAGATGCCGATCCGCCGAACAACGGCATCGCCGGAAGATCACAGTCATCTATCAATGGCCGCTGAATCGTTTTCGTTACGCTCGAGCGACAATTCAGCCGTCGTTATATACTTATAATGCATTTAATTTATTTTTTATACTACGAATAATAAATTTAAAAAAAATAAAGAAAATTAAATTCAAATTCAAATTCAAATTTGTATCTTTTCTTCTATTATCAAATGTTCATCAAACCCTACAACTTTGCTGTGTTCGATCACAACGACCAATCAAATCCAACGAACAGTAATGTTTTTTATTACATCAATGGGCTGCCAATACTCGACGAAAACGAGCAACCCATCAACAGATATTTCATTTCTTCATCATCTTCTTCCTCCTCCTCCTCCCCATGTTCTTGATCATCTCTGCAAATCATTCCACCATTAATGGAGAAATACTGGGAGCCATTGTTGGTTCCTGAAAGCTTTCTTTTCTTGTAGTTGGCCTTGAAGCAGGCTTGTCTAAGCCTCTTTGTATTGTCCTCCAACTGCAAATCTGGTCTCTCCTCCATTAATTTCTTCTCATTCTCTAATATCTTCAATACATTGCTCAACTTATTCACTCCCTGATCTCCATCTTCCTTCTGAAGCTCCTGCATTCATTTCCCATCGAAATTTTGTCAAAAAAAAAAAAAAAGCATCAAATTCCTTGGGAAATATGAAGAGAAAGACATGCCTTAACGTTCTTGATTAGTGTCTGTAGGCTCATGAGCTTCCTATGAGGCCATCTTCTTATACCCAATTCTCTGCATCTCTTCTTCAACAGAGTGAGTCCGACATTGAGATGTTTAGCTGCCTGAGTTATGGGCATGTAGAAGTACTCCGATATTACTTCTCTTGACAACGCTTTTGTTGATGCACTGCCACTGCCATTGCTCGTTTCTCTGCAGCACTTTCTTTTAGCCTTCCTCATCATCGTCCCCTCGTTTCCCATCCCTCCATTACCATTTTCTCCGCCTCCTTCCTCAACCCCAAATGCTTCACTCTCCAATTCACTCCAAATCCCAACGCCCCCATCTTCTGCAAAATCAAAACTTTTCAATCTTTTCAACATAAATATGAACAATCACAAATGGGTATATCATGAATCAATCACCTGATATAAAACTGCTAAAAGGATCTATGTCCTTGGGGTCGAAAAACGAGTCATTATTTGCGCAACTCTCAAGCAAAGGAACAACGTCAAAAAAGCTATCCGGAAATCCAAAATTGCAGTTCCAATCCAACGCAGAATAATTGTCGGTTCTACACAGAGTTAAGTTAAATTATGATGAACAGAGAAAGAAATGGTCAATTATGAAATGAAATTAGAAGCTGTGAAACTTGCCTACAATGGAGAGGAGAAAGATGGCATGATAAAGGAAAAGGGTCTTCAAATGCCATGGCTTCACACTTCGGCCTCCAAGTGGCGCCCATTCGTCACGATCGATCACCAAAACAGAAAGAAAAAGTGAAATATGGAAGGAAGGGAAGAAGAAGAGGCAGAAAATGGGGGATATATAATGCTCATAAAATGGTACGATGAATTGGGGAAGGGAAGAATTGGAGAACGTGCGCCGCCAAAGGGGCATAAAAATCCACAGTCCCCATGCATGAACAGATAGAGATATCATAATTTCTTATGTGTTTATGATCATCAATTTTCATTTATTGCATTACGGTGTGTGCTTATGAGAGTTACAAGATTTTATAAACTAAAACAAAATATATATCAGTTTTGGATTGTTAATTAATGATGAACAGTAGTGGAATCTGAGTCGTGTTCTTGGCATTTTTTTTTTTTTTTTTTTTTTTTTTTTGATAAAACACGTAATAATTAAGATAACCAATAGAAAGAAGGCACTAAAAACATGAAAAAGAATGATGAACAAGAATCTAAGGCTTTTTAGGCGTCTTAACCATGTCAGTCTGGGATTTAATCATTAAAATTCCATTGACTGCAGTTTAGAGGACCGAGTTGAGTCATTGATGGATGTGGATGTTAGTTAAGGTAGATGGGATGGTGATTGTAATGTAATGTTAATGAAATGTAACGCATCGTCCTCATAAATCATTGGGGAATGTGGGTATTTAATCTAAACCCATCTCATTAATTGGGATTAGAGACTACTTAGTGAGGATCAGTTACATAACAACTTTAATTACGTTTTATTTCTTCAAACTGTTGCTTAATTATTTGGAATTTATGAACCCCAATTCCCCAATTGGAATTCATTAAATATTTGTACTTAAATAGTGTTGAGTTTGAAATATTGTGCCCTACCAAATACATTCCTGCATTTTGTTAGAGAGGAGAACAAAACATTTCGTCTTATTTACAAGGACGTGGATGTGAAAATTTCTCTCTAGCAAATGTGTTTTAAAAACTTGAAGGATAGCCTAAAAAGGAAAGTCCAACATTTTAAACATTTTAAAACCTAACCTGGAAGGGAAGCTCCGCAGAGTCCAAACAAAAGACAACATCTGCCAATACTAGACTTGGCCTGTTACAACGACTATGGGAAACTGGTTTAGACATATGTTCTCGAACAAGAAATTAGAATTAGAGATACCGAATTTAAAAGAAGAAAAATATCATTAAATTAAAGAATCAAAGGAACCACTATTCAACTACAAAATTAATAAAGAATCTTAGATAATATTCAAGAGAAAGCATTTAAACAAATTATTCCTCGAACTCAATGCCAAGGGCGACATTGGTTGGGATTTTCTGGGGAATTCTCCGCAGGAAGACGACTGACTGGGTCCAATTGTCGTGAAACTGAAAGAAGTTAGCAAAAACATCAGTTTCTCCACCTACCCCCTCCTCCTCCTCTTCCACGGCCACCACCACCCCCGCCTCGTCCTCCACCGCCACCGCGGTGCTTTCCACCACCGAATGCCTTGTTTGCATCAGATCTACCTTTGAGGTTTTCAGGAAGGGGAAGGATATGATCCACACACTTTCTGAAGCTGAAGTCATCAACAGACTCGTCCTCCCGAATGAGGAAGAAGCACTTGTTTTTCCAAATAGGATGGTTTCGAATTTGGAAAGAATGAATACCACACCCTATCTTTTTCTCTGGTTCTGCATGCCCCTTCTTCAGCAAATCCAGCAACATCATCTTCTCGTACTGCCACACAAACCAATATCAAATATTGAATCATCAACAGAATCAATGCCTCCACAATATGCAAATAGTTTTACCATGAATCAATTTATTATTCATCGTGTAAATTTGATCAATTATAGATGTTTTCAATGACTTAGGGGGGTAAAATTAGTAGAGTTTTTCACCTTAGAACGGCGGTTGACTAGACGAAAAACATGACCGACAAGATAATACTGGGCCCCTAAAGAAATTACTATTCAAACATAGAACAAGAATACAAACCTACAAAAGATATTACTAATGTCTAACCATTTAAGTTATAGTGAAGTAGGCTAAATGTGAGGTCCCACATCAATTGTAAAGAAAAACGAAACATTCCTTATAAGAGTGTGGAAACCTCTTCCTAGTAGACGCGTTCTAAAACCTAGAAGGGAAGCCCAAAAGAGAAAGTCCAAAGAGGACAATATTTGTAGCGGTGGGCTTGGGCGGTTACAAATGGTATCAAAGCCAGACACTGGATGGTGTGCCAACGAGGACGCCGAGCTCTAAGGGAGGTGGGATTGTGAGATCTCACATCAGTTGAAAAGAGGAGTAACACATTCCTTATAAGGGTGTGGAAATCTCTGCCTAGTACATGCGTTGTAAAAACCTTGAAGAAAAACCTAAAGAAGACAATATCGGCTAGGGTGGTGGGTTTGGGCGGTTACACTAAGTGCTAAAGGAATAGACTTTAGTAGTACTAATATTTGCTACGGAATACAAATAATAACACCCAACTGTCTTTCAATTTAAGGATTTTTTTCATAACTAAGCGATCACACCCTGTAACCGGCCATGAATACATGGATTTCTAAACACTAATTATTACTTCCCCTTTTGGGCTGCAAAATTATACCATATAAGGACATGCTCAATGGCTTGGTGCGGTTCTTGGTTTTGAAGAGTTAAGCCATACTTGTATGTATAATTTGCTACATCACAGGATATGCTAGAAAGAAAGCAATAAATAGATATAGCATATCTATTTCTTCCACTAACATCAATCAAGAATAAGAAGGGAATCATAAAGAATAACAGCAAAACAATGCAAAAAAAAAAAAAAAAAAAAAAAAAAAAAAAAAAAAAACAGCTAAAAGAAATTCTTCAATGAGAAAATAAGGTCAAGAGAGTAGATTCACAGATAGAAATAAATTTATTCATCCAGGGTGGGATTCTTTGATTAATTGTTTTAACATCTAAATCTGTAAATGGATTTTGGGCAAAACTGATACCAATCATCATTAATCTCATGAGAATATTGAAGAATGTCACCTCTCTGATTCTATTATGTATACAATTATAGCAGTTTCTCAAACAAGTGACTAGAACAAAAAGTCCTGCTAAAATTGTTCACCATTCATGAGGATCAAGATACCTAAATCTACACCTCCTTTTGCAATTCGTTTTCCCTTCAGAAAGATGGAACTTTCACAAATTAAAATAATGATGATGATAAACCATAACAGCAATATTGGGAAAAAAGAAAATATGTCAATCAAGTTCCAGCTCTGCGTTCTAAAACTAACATAAAATTTCATAAGCATCATTCTCAACTTAAATTAACAAAACAGAGGACGATAGCAAATTAAAAAGAAGTCCATAATATGAAACCTGGTTCACGTTCAAGTAGGCAGGCCAGTGGTGGAGGAATTTATAGAAGTGATCAAACAATTCCCTCGACGATCGAAAGCTCTTAGGGCCTATAGTCACAGGACCAGGCTCCTCCTCTCCCTTCCCGTCTCCTTGCGCCTTCTCAACCCTTCCCTCTTCAACTGACTTCTCCATCTTCTGCTTTTTCACCTCTTCGACGCTGCCATCGGCGCTTTCTTCCTCCCTCTCCCGCTTCGAATTTGCATCGCCATTAGTTACTTTTGCAGCCTCATTTGCTTCATCATTTGATCCTTTAGGTTCTGCTACGGGCTCTGTATTCTCCAATTCCATGTCTTCGGCGTTGGTCACCTCCTGATTGTTTTCAGCCGGTTGAGGGATTGTTTCTTCTGCCATTGTAACTTGCAGGTGTACTCTGAAACTTCTAAACTTCGAAGTAAAAACCCTAGGAAAATAAAAGACAAGATTTTATATTCTTCCGTTCTTCTTTAAATGGAAGGGCCGTTTAATTTTTATTATTTTTTGGATTTTTTTTCCTTTTAGAATTAGGAAATCAAGTCAGAGATTTTGATATTGATGTTTAAAATATTGAAATAAATATGATTTAGTTTTTTTCTAAGTTTAAATTAGTTTAACAAAATAAATGGATTGCAAATTTTATCAAATAAATTTAAATCCAATAAAACAACTCAAGCCAATAATAAAAAGAAAAAAGGCCTTTTATTTTAAATAAATTGAATACGAAATATTATTTAAATGTTCTAAAATCTACCATGAAAAAATTATTATAAAAAATATATTTTTTTTTAAATGTCTCTCAAATTTGTATTTAAATATTCAATGTCATGTTAGAATTTGACTTAGAAAATAAATATATTAAATTGTAAAGTTTTTATAAATAAAAGTTAAAAATCATATACTTATAAACAATTCATTATTTTTAATTATTTAAATGTAGTTCAATAAATGAGATGTCTACTGTAATAATACTAATTTTATTTTTTAGTATAGGTTTATAAAACATTTTACAACGCGAGTAAAATAAAATAAAAATCGAAAATAAATATTTCTTTATTAGGACAAGACTGGTTATGAGATGCCTTGGTGACCCATTATCTCTGCATACAAATTGGGTTAAGTTGAAAAAATCAATTTAAAGGCTTTCAAATAAATTCGACATATGAATTGATTATTGGGTTTGTTGCTACTACCTGCAATGGCCTTAGTCGATTGAGTTGTTCACTCGTGAACCAAAAGGCTTTCAAACAAACTCAGCATCTGAATTAATTATCGGGTCATATGAACACTCCTAACTTATTTTATTTTCTCAACCTAATCCAATCCCGTCCTCTGTTTGTGTGTCTGTTGGTTTGTTTTAGAACAAATTTGTGTTTTTGGGTAGAAAAGTGAAAACCAAAACCCAATATTGGGTTGATGAAAAGATGGTGGCGGTCTTGATTGATAAGCGAGGGAAGAGGCAACAACAGCGCCATATCCATGTCCATATCCATATCCATATCCATCCCCCAAACAAACGCACACATTCAACACTAATGTAATGCAATGTGCACTTTAGAAATATAAAGCTTTTGAGTTCATTGGAATTGGAATTGGAATTGGGTACCAAAAGCATAAAGGAACTCCATTTTGCACACCAAACCAGGACGACTCCCATCT